CTATTTTATGTCAAATAAAGAAAAGTAAATGGATTTCTTAAGACAGACTTAGTGACTCAGAAATCATCTAGGATAATAATAATTACTTGTTTAGGACTTACTATATAAGGTATGTGCTACTATCATGCTTTTTAATGAATGAGGAAATCATAGCTTGCAATAGTTAATATTTGCTCGCAAGATCATAAATCTACGAAGTGATGCATGTAAAATTTAAATCCAGGTAGTCAGATGCTGCCAATGAAGAAATATACTTCTAAGCAGAAAATAATGACTGGTTTCTTGCTGCAATAAAAATACATTTCCTTTAAACCTTAAAATAATTCATCTGTCCATAAATACAAGTGATTGTGATATATCTGGGGAGGATATAGCCTTAAAACAACCTAGCTCCTAGCTCCACTTATAGGCTAGAAAATTGTCTGTTGTGCAAGCCCTTGCACAACACTAGCTTAAGCAGTAAGTCCTGAGGACAATGAGGTTCTGGTCCACCTCAAATAATCTTAGGAACAAAGCCTCAGGTTTGTTGACCAAACACACCCCTGAGCTATACCTCTTGAAATTTTATCTGATCTATTAGGTGATGGTTCATATAAGTGCTGACTGACACTTGCAGAGGTGACCACAAGATCTTATAACTATGCACCATTAGCCATCTCTATAAATTATGAAATAAAGACATACAAAGAGTTAACATACAGCCCTGGTCGGTTTGGCTCAGTGAATAGAGCATTGGCTTGCGGACTGAAGGGTCCTGGGTGCTTGCAATGCACTAGAACACAGTGTAGCTTCGGGTACAGAACATGTACACTGTGTTCTAGTAAAAAGCCTGCTCAGATTGGCCAGAGTCAGAGAGGCAGTCTATTAAAAAAAGAACTGGTGTTGCCTCGGAAGTGGGGGGTAGTCTTATACGGCAAATATAGGCATAAACCTATGTTTTAACTGTAAAATTATGGGTCATCTTATACGCTGGAAAATACGGTACAAAGTTCTCACTGGACTCAATCGCACGTGTGTTTAATGTTAAAATATATATACTATTTGACATGTAATTTTTTGCAGTAATATAATTACTGCAGGAACCCTTCTTCTAATTAATTTCCTTTTAATGTGCACAAATCCATGCACTGGGCCACTAGTATTCACACAAATCATCATAAAAGCCCATTTACTTCATTTCCTCTATTATGCAGCACAACATGACTAGCTTTCAACAAAAACTTGCAGTGCATGCCAAGGTAAGAGAAAACACACTCCAAAAGCACAAAGGGAGCATTAGAACCAGATTCAGATATGACACAGCTGTTGGAAAATCAGGCAGGTAATTTAAAATATCTATTATTGATACGTTAGAGACACTAAAGGGAAAAGTAGACAACATGCAAGAACAGGTAATATATGCATAGAGATGAAAACTCAACAATAGCAACTAATAATCAAAAAGAAATGAGGGAGATCCAAAGCACCTTAACAGAGATGAGGCCCGCCTTTGATAGGCTCATCAATAGACTTGACATGGCAGAGGGGGGGAAATCAGTGCGCTTCAAGATAGGCCAACAGAAACTTCCCAAACTAAAATGAAAAGAAAAAGAACAAAACACCCAAGAGCTGAGGGGCAATTTCCACCTCAAAAAGCCAAACATGCACCCAGCTGGCATGGCTCGATCCTCAAGCCAATCAATGATTCAATGATTCTCTTTCATCATAGATGTTTCTATCTTCCTCTCCTCCCTTCCTCTCTGAAATCAATAAATATATATTTAAAAAAGTAGAAGAGTTAGAGTTGGTCTTCAACATCAACTTTAAAAAAAAAATTTTTTTAAGTCCTATAGGTACCAGGAGGATGAAGATCTGCAGAAGGTATAGTTGCAGAATTGCCAGAAACCTTAAAACTTTGTCACTCCAAGTGTGAGCCACAATCAGCAGCATCCCCTTGAAGCTTTAAAAATGCAGAGTCCCAGGCCCTGCCCTGACCTGCTGAATATGAATATGCATCTTAACAAGAGGTACTGGTGCTTGCAATGCACATTAAAATTGAAAAGGCACTAGCTTAATGGCTATTAAATATAAATTGCTTAGTCATTCTATTTCCCCAAAGCACCCCACGGCATAATTCTTCAACTTATAAATCTCAAGAAGTCAACTTTTCTTCTTTTTTTTTTAAATATATTTTATTGATTTTTTACAGAGAGGAAGGGAGAGAGAGAGAGCTAGAAAAGTCGATGAGAGAGAAACACCGACCAGCTGCCTCTTGCACACCCCTTACTGGGGATATGCCCGCAACCAATGTACATGCCCTTGACCGGAATCGAACCTGAGACCTTTCAGTCCGCAGACAGACGCTCTACCACTGAGCCAAACCGGTTTCGGCGAGAAGTTAACTTTTCTAATAGATATACTCACTACCAAAGTTGATGGACTTACCAAGGATTTTAATTGTGAAAATATTTCTAACAGGACAAAGTACAGGCTGGAGCCCTGCCCAAATCCAGTCTTAGTTTTTAATCTAAAGTCTGTGCTAGTTAACCACCCCCCTGAAAGGTTAGAGAGTTGGGATGAGGAGTGCCTTTTTATTTTTTTAAATATAGTTTTATTGATTTCAGAGAGGAAAGGAGGAGAGAGAAAGATCGATGATGAGAGAGAATCATTGATTCGAGCCCACAACCTAGGCATGTGTCCTGACCAGGAATCAAACTATGACCTCGTTGTTCACAAGTCAACACTCAACCTTGCCAGCCGGGTTGAAAAAAAAGATACGTGTATCAGTTCAAGGTACTCTGATATGAGTTCACTGCAACAGAAAGAGAAAAAGGCTCTTCCTCTGCCCGGGTAATGGTGAGTTCACGTCTATCTACAGAGGAAAATCATGCAGAGTAATTACAGGTGGAATAAGGACTATAAGCTCCAGATTCCTCTTAGGAAACATTTCTGAGTCTAAATGCACTTTTTAATTAGCTCTTCCAATAGCATCATGCTAATTGACTAATTTGGAATTGATATGAGACCCCATGTGCTTTAAAGAAAATCTGTTTGTTGATACATTTATTTGCACCTGAGACTGTCTTATTGCTGGCAGGACAGATATTATTAAAACAGAATCACCTGCTTGTTTTAACCAGATTTTTTTTTTTTTAATGAACGCACATGAATTGGATTATCCCCAGGGTTTCAGGAGGAAGTATTAACATTTTGAGTGATGAAAAATTGCCACTTGGTTGGGAAATAAATGAGCTTTAAATAGGTCCCATTATTTTTTACAAGGTTATTATTATAAATGTTTCATAACAGAAAAAATGCCCTTCATGTCTATCCTCATTGTTGGCTTATAATTGGGGTGCTAACCTCTAACTAGTCTCGCTCTTCACACCAAGCCTCGGCGAGTTTTCATAAGTGATTTTTACATAAAATAAAATTACCTTTTATTGGACTACAAATTTCCAACAAGTTTCTCAATTTGTAAGCTATGCTCTGAAGAAAATGTATTAAATGGCCGAAACCAGTTTAGCTCAGTGGATAGAGCATCGGCCTGCGGACTGAAGGGTCCCGGGTTCAATTCCAGTCTAGGGCATGTACCTTGGCTGCGGGCACATCCCCGGAGGGTGGTGCAAAAGACAGCTGGTCAATATTTCTCTCTCATCGACGTTTCTAGCTCTCTATCCCTCTTCCTTCCTCTCTGTAAAAAATTAATAAAATATTTTTTTAAAAGAAAGAAAATGTATTAAATGAATTAACTTGGGTTAGGAAATAGTGATAAAAAGTTTTTATGTGATCAATATATTTCACTATTAACAAGACTGTCCTGAACACTAAAGAAATATGATTTAGGTGAGAGCATGGTGACGTATTTGGATACTTATTCATATCTCACTTTAATATTTCTCATTTGCTTTTCTTGTTCCATGGAGATGATACTTTGTAATCTAAGCAAAACTCCCCCTCTAGGTTACTATTTAAAGTGTCCCTTTCCAGCCTAATTAGTGCCGCTAGATAATAAAAGAAATACTGCCTGGATCACCCTGGGTTTCAGAAAGTGCAGTGATAAATTGTCTGCTCCCTCCAATGTAACTTGAGCAGGCTGCAGCTATTCTGCATTGTGTGCTAAGCCTCATTGCTAGGTTTGGAAATGCTAGGGTGCCCCCTACTGTTGTAAATTAGGAGGCACGTCTCTTGGCTGCTCCATTCAGAAAACAGGATTCTTCCCCAAAGGCCACTCACTTAACCAAAGTTCAGGTAAGAAGTGGTTAGTCACAAGGATGGATAAATGGATGGATGGATGGATGCACGCATGCACGCATGGATGTGTTTGCTATAAAGGACATTAGTATGATAGAGGATTATTGGAGAAATTTGAAAAAATGTCTGTAGGTTAGATAATAATGCTTTAGCAATAGTAATTTTCTGATTTTGAAAACTGCCCTGTGGTAGGTAACAGAATATCCTTGTTTACAGGAAATACACAGCAGTGTTTACAAGTAAAATGCGCATGTGTGGATTGGTGGGTAGGTGGGTGGGTAGATGGATGGATAAATGGATGGACGGATGGCATTAAAGAAAACAGAGCTGGACCTAGATGGCCTGGCTCAGTGGATAGAGCTTTGGCCTGTAAACTGAAGAGTCCCGAGTTCAATTCTGGTCAGGGGCATATGCCTGGGTGTGGGCAAGATCCCCAGTAGGGGGCATGCAGGAGGCAGCCAATCAATGGTTCTCTTCATTATTGATATTTCACTCTCTCTCTCCCTTCCTCTTCTCTAAATTAATAAAAAGTTTTTAAAAATTAAAAAAAGACACCTAAAGAGAAGATTAACAAAATGTGGAAGCAACATCTTGTGAACCTGACATCACAAACCAGAGTTTGAATTTCAGACAACCATCTACATAAGAATAAACTTCTTAAGCATATTAAACATTACAAACTTCTAATATCATTCTGAAGTACACCTTTGGTGACTTTCCAAGCTCTTTCTTGTCAAGTTATTTGGTGCTTTATAAAAAACAATAAATTTTTAAATCCAAAATCTAATTTATTAGCAATACATACAGGTATATGAGTCCTAACACAGTGATTACTGAATTATCATATAATAGCTAAAACCAGAACATACTGAATATTTCAGGTCAACATAGATTTAACAATTCCTTTATTTAAATAAATGAACTCCCAAAATATCACATGGTTGTTTTACACTTAGCCCGTTCTGCATGTCGTAGCTCATCTAGAACATTTCTAATGGTCTCTATGCAGACTTCTCCTCTGTGGTGTTTTTTTGATGCAAGATTCCATACATTTTCAAATTCTTCATCAGAAAGTTTGACACCAATCTTACATAATATCTCTGCAATCTAGAAGAAAACATTACAAGTCAAACCAAGATTTATATAAATTTGTATTATTATAATATGTTTATAACATATAAGACTATGAATATAGCTGAAACCAGTTTGGCTCAGTGGGTGGAGTGCCCGCCTGCAGACTGAGGGGTCCTGGGTTCGATTCCAGTCAGGGGCACGTGCCTTGGTTGCGGGAACATCCCCAGTGGGAGGTGTGCAAGAGGAAGCTGATCCATGTTTCTCTTTCGTTGATGTTTCTGACTCTCTCTCTCTCCCTTCCTCTCTGTGAGAAATCAATAATATATATATATATATATATATTTTTTTTTTTTTTAAAAACACACATTAAAAAAAAAAAAAAAAAAAGGACTATGAATATTTATCCAAAAAAAAAAAAGGTATGTGGAGAGACAGGGGGCAATTTGTGAGAGTGTGTGTGTGTGTGTGTGTGTGTGTGTGCCTGTCTGTCTGTCTAAGCAACCGATCAGTGCTCAACCGGTCACTAGTATAATGCACACTGACCACCAGGGTGCAGACACTTAATGCAGAAGCGGCCCCCTGGTGGTCAGTGCCCTCCCACAGCAGGAGCACCGCTCAGCTGACCAATGGGCGCCAGATGCTGGGCTCACAGCTGATGAGCACAGCTGCAGCAGCATGAGCCTCTCCCGCCTCCGTGGCAGTGCTACCAAGCAGCGGCAGCAGGGACCAGGATGAGGGGTCCTGGATTGCAAGAGGGGTAGGCCATGCACCAGGCCTCTAGTTACACATAATAAGCACACTTTGCTTATTAATCATCTCTCTGAAGTGGTAATTAATAAAGGGAGATGAAAAATATGCTGTTCATGTCCCAGAGAAAGTATAAGAAAAGAAAGATATGAACTAGTAGTGAAAAGAAATGTTAGGATGTGGAGAGGGAATATAAGACTTGAGGGAGGGGAAAAACATTTATTCTCAAGAGTACGGGGGTGGCGGGAGGGAGGGGGAAGCAAAGAGGAAAATGAAAGAAAGGTTAAACAGGGAATAGGAAAGCCAAAAGAAACAGAATAGCTGCAGAATACATCAATTAAACAGAATCTGAACAAGAATTAAAAGATCCCCTGGAAATGATGTGCCCTTGTGGGAAATTAACAGTATAATCAAATACACTTGAAACTCAGAAGCTCTGGCTGCTCCTGCTTTATCACCCATCCAGGATGAATCCTAATGAGTTCCGATGACTAATATACAAGGTCAGGTTGTATAAAGTCTGATATTAAGTAGTTGTTGTTAAATATACATTCCTATGTTGGTGTATTTATGGAAGGTTGACATTTCTTTCCACCCTTTTGAAATAGTATGCTGTACCTCTTTTTTGGATCTGGTTTGGAAGAAGTCTCTTTCAAACAATCCTTTCTGGCCAAAGATGGAAGGATATAGCAATGAATAGGCATTGCCCTCTTCACCATAATTCTTTTTATCATCGATGCGGCGAATTCGGGGGACAGGGATATCAGACCGAATAGTTGGAACACCATAGATGGGATAACCTAGGACATCGATGAGGGAAGAAAGCACACATTTTGAAATGGAGATGCGTAATACACTAGCCACCAAGTCACGTGTGGCTATTTTGAGCACTTGAAATGTGGCTAGTCTGACTTGAGATGTGGCAGAAGTTAAAATACACACTGAATATCAAAGATCTTTTACCAAAAATGTGAGATATTTAACCACTTTCTATTGATTACTTGTTGATTTGATAATATTTTAGAAATATTATATAAATATATATATATTATTAAAATTAATGTTACTTGTTTCCTATTTCTTAATGTGGCTACTAAAAATTTATAAGTACATACGACTCCAGTGATATTTCTATTGGACAGCACTATTCTGAAGAGTAGCAAGACCTCATTATACCAGAATGTATAGCAAGTCTATAAAATTCAGTTTAAAAAAATGTATAACTTTAATCATGTCTTTAGTACCATGAAGTGATCTTGACCAACATAAATTAGTCTTTCTAAATAGCCAATATACATCACACACACTGCCAGTATATAGAGGTATAGGGTGTTATGAGTTAAACTATATCTTCCTCAGATTTGTATGTTAAAGTTCTAGCCCTCAGTACTTAGAATGTGGCCTTATTTGGAAATAGGATCATTGTAGATATAATTAAGTTAAGATGAGATTGTACTGGAGTAGGCTCCTAATCTATTATGACTGGGGTCCTTAAAGAAAAGGGGACATTTGGCAACTCGAACAGGAGAATGCCATGTGAAGGTGGAAGGCTGAGATTGGGATGATGCAGCAGAAACCAAGGAATGCCAGAGATTGCCAACAAGCCACCGAAAGCTGGGGGAGAGGCCCGGAACAGATTCTCCCGCACAGCCCTCAAAAGGAACCACCCCTGCCGACACCATGAGCTCGGACTTCCAACCTCCAGAACTGTGAGATGGTAAATGTATGTTGTTTAAGTCACCCAGTCAGTGGTACTTGTTATGGAAGGACTAGCAAACTTATAGATGGAAAATGAAGATAGTGAGAAACCTTTTGTAAGCGCTCTTCAACTATTGGAAGGCAAACCTATGTGTAGCTTAAAAGTCACGTGGCTTAGAAATCTCCTAAAGCTCAGTGACATCTGATTACTACACTGTATACCATTCAGTGTTCTGATTGGTGACGGTTTCCATTTCATTAATATCGAGAGAACCCTTTTACTTGGATCTCCACTAAGGATAGTTCAGCCTAAACGTACCAAGACGCCCTGGCTGCTTGGGTATAGAATGAAGCCAAAGACCCTAGGCTTTGAGAAATGTACATCCTCATGGAAATCAACCCTGGGGATGATGCCAGGGCAGAGGAAGAACACATCACTTCCATGTTTGCTGATCATTTTATATCTCAGCCAACACTTTGACATACTCACACATGGAAGGGACAGCTCCTACAACCGCATTGATAGCAGAAGAAGTGGTCTTATAGTGGCTGGCAACTTTATCCTTTGGCCTCAGAAGTGTCCGGAGAGTCTTTTCTGAGTTGTCATTTAAGACAATGTCTTCAGGCTTTATCAGGAGGGTTGGTTCTGATTCTCTAGAAATAGCCTCAGCAGGGTTTTCACAATCTGGCTTTCCACCTATAAGCAAAGAGAGAAAGGGGGTGGGGGGTGGGGGAAGTACAGGAAGAAGTTACTACTTGGTTCTTACAACTCCACAACAAAATCATTTTTCCCATTTAGTTTCTTCTTGCTGGTGGAAAACTGAGACTGGGCTGGTGTAAACCCTCCACAGCTACCAGCACCTCACTGTGGAAGAGCAAGTTCAGGCCAATGTCATGTCCCAGGAAACTGAGGCCTGGTCTAATGTTTCTTTTCACCATTCCACTCCCTTGACTCTAGAATAAAGCTCTTAAATATGAACAAATAAAAAAATCAAAGAACCTATTCTTTTTCTTTCCTCTTTTTAAAAATTAGAGATTACTTTCCCATTGAATTTGAACCACAGAATTACTACAGTTGTTCCTAGCGAAAGACACATTTAGAGTTGTAAATTCCACACATATCTGATCATGGAAGGGAGGCCTGTGTATTGAAACATTTGGAGAAATGATGCGAACTCACTGTGAGCTCAGGAGCTGATTATTACTATATAAATAACTCTCTTCAAATCTGCATATAAAAGAAAACCCTGAGGTAGAACTGAGATTATAAGATTCTGACCTGTTTTGCCCATTTGCTTTGCTGAGTCAATTATGAAACTTAGGAGTACATTCCTGACATTCTTTCCAACGGAGTTGGTAACTGACAGCTAGCACAAGAGGGCGCTGTGGCCTTTCACTCTCTACAAGAACTCTTAGTTCTGAAACGGCTCAAGCCAGGTTTGTAAAGGCTAAGGCAAATGGTGTCCCAGTATGAGAGCAGAGTGGGAACAGTGGCAAACCAGAAAAGATATGTCTCTGTAAAGTCTGCACCCCCCATTTAAGCACCCACCAGTTGTTGCCAATGAAAGCATTCAGGCCCATTGCAGATCCTCACCTGCCACTCCTTCCCAAACACACAAAAAAGCAGAAATTTGCTCACAGTATGAAAACCTGTTCCTCAGAAAAGTGTTTGAAAGCCATTCTCTTAAAGTACTTACCCCATCACCACCACCTTTCCTGCAGAAGTCAGCAGTAGGATTGATTTGATATAAGACAATTTCTGAGCCCTTTCTGACCCATAGGGCACTATCTTAAAAGACAAAAATCTCAAGCATTCCATTGAAAATGGCTGACAAAGTCACGCACCAAATCCTGATATGAAAGACTGTCTGGTTTGAAAATAGGCTTCTGCTTCCCTCCAATCCATGAGTTGTGCCAAGAAGAAAAACAACACCCCTGCTTCTGAGAGCTTCATGAGGTAGGGAAGATGTGCCTGCTTCCCGAGTGGGTAGACTAAAAAGGCCATCCCAGAAACTGGTAAGGGCTCATGTCAGCAGTACAGCCCAAAATTTGGTTTTGGCCTTGCAGAAAGGCATGACCAACGAATAAAAATAAAAGCAGTAGGCCCTAGGTGGTTTTTCTCAGTGGTTAGAGTGTCAGCTCTTGGACTGAAGGGTCATGGGTTCGATTTTGTCAAGGGCATGTACCTCAGTTGCAGGCTCGATCCCTGGCCCAGGTCAGGGTACATTTGGGAAGCAACCAATCGATGTGTATCTCTTTCTCTGTCTCTCCTCCTTTCTCCCTCCCTTCCATACTCTAAAAATTAATGCAAAAATATCCTCAGGTGAGGACTAAGAAAAAAATAGAAACAGAAGTATCTTTGCTTTTTAGAAGAGAGAAAATTAAAATGTGAACAACCTTTTAAAATAGTTATCTCTCTAATAATCAAGATTTGAAAATTAAAGCAAATGATGCATCAGTATATACCAACTAAATTACAAGAATGTTTGAAATAACACTCAGTGGTAACACAGTTGGAGTAAAATTGTCTCACAGCGTTGGCTGGTAAAGTTGCAAATTGGAAAAATCATTTAGAAAAGCGAAACGAAAATATGTAAAGAGAGTTACTTCTGGGGTAATAATAGCATTCATAAGAAATGAGATATAATTAGAAACAGAAAGCTTTTTGAGAGATAATAATCATTATAGTATTACCCATATTACTTTAAAACTGTCTGGAAACAACCAAAATTTCAAAGAATAAGGAAATGGTTTAGTAATTCATAATACAATAGCATGAAGAAACTGTTTACAGAAACCATAAAATTATCCCTTAATTCCACAGTAATTTGAAAGTTAAATTTTAAAAAATAATAAAAATGCTACATTCACTGTGATTTTAGCTATACTTAAATATATGCATACACACATACAAATATGTATATATGTATATCTATATATAAGTAGTGATGCAGGTATATAATATGTAAGCATGAAGATATTTGCATAAAAGTGAAGATTATGGTTTTATATTTTGTTATTGTTTACAAAAACTAAAAGGTTAAATTTTCTTACTATTTCTTTTCCTTGGGGGAGGAGAGCTAATCCTATATAATAAAAGCCTAATATACAAATTGTCCCCTCAACCGGGAGTTCAACCGAGAGTTTGGGAATTCGACCAGGGGATGGGGCCAGCCAGCCAACCATGGGAAGGGAGGCCCCAGCTGGTAGCTGGCAGCCACTAGGGACACTACCCATGCATGAATTTTGTGCACTGGGCCTCTAGTTACTCTATAAAAATGATTTTTTTTAATATATTTTATTGATTTTTTTACAGAGAGGGAGAGGGATAGAGAGTTAGAAACATCGATGAGAGAGAATCATCGATCAGATGCCTCTTGCACACCTCCTACTGGGGATGTGCCCCCAACCAAGGTACATGCCCTTGACCGGAATCGAACCTGGGACCTTTCAGTCTGTAAGCTGATGCTCTATCCACTGAGCCAAACCAGTTTCGGCTATAAAAATGATTTTTGAACAGCTTTCTAAAAAACTGCATATCACATTTTGGGCTTCTGAATAAATTCTTTTTTGCTTTTAATTTTTTTCTCTAAAATGAGTAATAAAATTCAAAAGATACAAAAACATAAGATTAAAAGCTGAGTCTCACTGCTACCCTATCCCTCAGTTACCCAGTTCCCTCTCCCTGGAAATAGTAAATGTTATCAAATTCTTTCCTACCCTTCTATACATATCTATGCATAAACAAGCAAATAAATATGTATATATGTGCATATTTTTAAATACATAATATTAAAGTTGAGATGTGCTCCTAGAAAAAATGGAAATATAAAAGTCCATTTAAGAGTTTGGCAAAGCTTCAAACTTACCTTTAATGACAACCCTCTCTTCATACTCTTTCAGAGGCATTTTATCTTTCCAGTTAAGAAAATTTGCAAATTCCAGGAAGCTAATCAGCCCATCATTATCCACATCACAGTAGGCAAATAGCTGGTCCAGGAGCTTCTCATCTAAGTGCAAGTTGGCTTGTTCACAAGCTTCCAGAAGTTCTTCTTTATCTATCACCCCATCTCCCTTCTGTTAGACATGAGGCAAAAAAAGCTGAAGTGAGCACTGCCTTCAAGAGTAGGGTATGCATCACCTATCATTTCGTTTAAGAAAAAAAGAAAGAATTGTACCACATCAACTCAATGAGTGTGTCTTATTTGTCACATAAGAGGAGTCAAGTATTAAACAAGATTCATCTTCCTGGGGTGTCCACCTGTTATGTGCACAATAATGGCAACCCTGGTTGGAGCAAGGTGTGGCTCAGAATCTTTGTTAATTCTATTTAATAATTTTTTTTAAATTTAAATCATGCTGTTTACACTGAGTAGATGTGACCATGACTCATGCCTGACATTCCATCTGAACCATGCGGTGTACTTTTGACAGCTCTCTACAAGGTTCTCCCTTTCAGAGTGTTCTGGTGTCCTACCTGGGCAGTGAGGGATCCTCCGCTTCATGGCCTGGTCATAAGAAAGAATTGGGAAGCAGCTGCCAGCTAAGTTAGTGGATTCTAAGACAGTTAGTTGCCTGCTTGTTGTTAACACTCCTATGGGCAAGAGGGTGCCTGTTACCAATTTGGTGGTGAGCCCTCACTGGGACAGTTAGCACTCCAATTCACCCTGGTCTGGTGGGAGGGGAAGTCTGCACCCCCTTTCAGAGAACATTTAATACAGGAGCACCTACACTGAGTGTGATGAGAGGGAAATGTATGACGGCCCTGGGCAGAAACTGGCTGAGTCACTCAGGAGGTGAAGGGGCCGAGCCCATAATGCTCATTTATTATTTCTTAAAACTATAACAGAGAGAGAGAGAGAGAGAGAGAGAGAGAGAGAGAGAGAGAGAGAGAGAGAGAGAGAGAGAGAGAATTTCTCTAAGATAGAAAAGGAAAAATCATAACTACTCATTGCCTAGGACTCATTGACTAGGATTGGATTTACAATGATGAAGGTGATCCCTGGAGACCAAGACACTGGCCCTATAGTTCTAGATAAATTCCTGTCTTCAGATTCACAGGCTTGGGAAATGTCCCTAACCCTTATGTTGAAACAGAAGGAGAATTTAAAACATACCACCTTTTTTTTATGTGTCTGTTTCTGTTAAAAGATACTATCTTGACAAGGGAGCTACAAAGGCCCTAGATTAAAGTAGACTCCCCTGGTATGAAATCCTCTGCTACAAACCCAAGTCAACCAAAAAAGCAAACCCCACAGCCCTGGCTGAAAAGCAACGTTGGGCTGTGGCTGTTGAACCAAGAGGATCTTCAAAACGGAAATAGATGGTGTCAATAATGACAACCTTGCTGCCCAGTATAGGGCTTTGTGTGGGCTGAAAACATTGGGGTTTGTGTGTTTTTTCCATTTGTGTGGCCTGACAACATTGGTGCTGTGTTTCTTTGAGCTGCCTGCCACCACTGCACCACTCCAAACTGCAAGTATATGTTTCTTACTCACTGATGCAGACATTCTCTCTTCCCTCTACGCCCTTAATCTCTCACTCCCCGGACCCTAACACCTCAACAGTTCTAAGAAGAAAGACGACTAGATGTGGGGCTAAGGTCTCCCTGTCCCCAAGGGGGATCAAAGGCCACATGCAGCTGTCCAAGTATGTTGTGGAACTTCAAGGGGGCAGAGACTCCAACTTTTGTGGCTTCTTTGAAGACAGGTGCCAAAGTCACCATCCTACTCAGTCTGTCAGGGAGGAGCAATCTGGATGCAGCTAGAGGGCCTGGGCAGGGTTTGCTCGATGTGGAGAGGGAAAGTTAGCAATAGAGTATTCCTGTGGCTTCCACAGCTACATGTGTGAGTGATATTGATACTTGACGTGCCTGTACTGGAAATGTTCTGAAGACCCAGAGGCACTTAGGATCAGGAAGAGCCACACGTAGAGAAGTGCTAGTAACTTTGAGGCCCCACAACCCTAATGGCCCTTTTGAGCTACAAGTCTCCATGACTAATGAGTTCGTCACTTAGAGCCTCTGGAAAAAATTGGCAACCTCCACTGGAAGGCGCCCCTTGAGCTTTAAGACTCAATGAGCCCCCCCCCCCCCCCCCCCCAACGAGGCAGACAGCTTTTGAAAAGCAGCTATTAGCCAGTTCCTGAGCTCTTGTTGAAACTAAAACACTTGACCCACGGAGGCCTTGTAACTTTCCAGACCGATAAGCATTTTGAAGTGAGCCAACTTGGACTCAATGATTAACAAGATAGAAAGGACATAACAAGCCTCATTTGTGAAATGGTAATGGTATATTCAAGAAGGCAGCCGGCCTGACCCCAGTTACATCTCAGTTTTATTATACATGAAAAGGGCAGCAATCCTTAGGGGGAAAACTTGATGCATCTTTGCTACCTGAATAGGACTGGCTCAATAGGACCATTCAGTTCACAGAGGCTCCTCGTGTGCCTGGGACTCACTCACTAACCTGAAAGCCAGTGGTCTTCACTGGGCTGCTGTGGCTTTGGACCTTGATGAGAGCTTTAAAGGACCGAACATACACATGGTCACCCTACTCGGTGAGCAGAAATCAAGGCCATTCTAATGGCTCTGGCCAATACTCCCCTTGACAAAGCTGCTATCGTTTTACTGACCCTTGGGTTGTTGCCAATGGCCTGCCTGCTTGGTTTGCTATTTGGAAAGCTATAAACTGGAAGATGAGACTCTTCTTTTTGAGTCTGAAAACTATGGAAACAGATCATAGCTACCGAATGAGGCCTCTGGGTAATTCATATAGATGACCATGATAAGGGTCCCTTCTCTAATGATAATAACTGGAATCAAGCTTCTGACTGAGCCTGATCCATTCAGACTGCTGCCATGGCTGCCCAGATCCATCGTTGCACCAGACATGGCAACACAGCCACCACCACAGACAAGGCACAAAGTAAAGCACTCTGTGTTTCCGATGCAGAGGCTACCACCCTGTGCCAAACTGTGACTCCTGCCACAAGCTGACCCATTTGTCTCATGAGGCGAGGGAAACACATTGCACACAAGACATTGCTCCATGCTCCTGCCAGGCTCTGTCCCCTCTCCAGAGCTCTGAATGGTGCCTCACCACTGTTGACACTTTTTCAAGTTATGAAACAGCTATGCAGTCTAATCAACCAGCTCCAGTCGCAACAGAAAGGCCCGTGAAATTTATCTGAGTCATGTGTTTTGCTTTCTGGACCATTTTCAGTCTGACAGTGCTGTGCCTTATATATAGCCCAAAAGCTGTTCAACAATGAGCTGTTCGGCAAGGTATTCTATGAACCATTCCTGCTCTCAACCATCCACAGCCATCTGAGCTTTGGAATAGCCTCACAAATGGACTACCTTCCTTATCAGCTCCTGCTCATACATCTTACAGTAAAGCAGGTTTGTCTCTGAATGCAGCTGCCCCCAAAAAGGAATCCACCCCATCTCAGCTGCTTCCTGTGTAATAATTAGAATAAAAGGAGTGAGAATTATATAAGCCTAATTTTTTTTAATATATTTTATTGATTTTTTACAGAGAGGAAGGGAGAGAGATAGAGAGCTAGAAACGTCAATGAGAGAGAAACTGACCAGCTGCCTCTTGCACACCCCCTACTGGGGATGTGCCTGCAACCAACATACATGCCCCTGGCCGGAATTGAACCTGGGACCTTTCAGTGCGCAGACTCTCCACCACTGAGCCAAACCGGTTTCAGCTATAGGCCTAATTTTTGAAAGTGTGGGACTCTGTTGTGACCATTCTTGGACATGATGCATTTTCCACCCTCTATTAGGGGTGTCGAACTCAATCAGAGAAGGGGCCAAAATCTAAAATCCAGCCTAAATTGCGGGCCGAATGGTTTACTGAACAGTCATAAACTGTCATTGTGATGGAAACGCAGCGGAGTGCAGTGATGACAGCGCGGTGCGGGCCACATTGCAAGGCCTGGCGGGACGGATTTGGCCCGCGGGCCTTGTGTTTGACACATGTGCTCTAGCTTTTAAGTTTCCTAAATGGAAAGTCTACACATTATCCATAATAATGTGTGATTTATTGTGTGCTCAATAAATAACAGAATTAACCCTCTAAGCCAACAGGATTCATTTAGGGGGAAATATTTTGTTAGTTTTGTTTTGGCATTAAATTAAAAACGGGCATTCAAGCCCTAGCCGATTTGGCTCAATAGATAGAGCATCAGGCCACAACTGAAGGAGCATGGGTTTGATTCCAAACACGGGCACGTACAGCATTTGCAGGCTCCATCCCTGGCCTAATTTAGGGGAAAGGTGGGTGAGGCAATTAATCAATTTGTCACTCTCACATAGATATTTCTCTCTATCTTTTCCCCTTCTACTCTCTTTAAAAAAAAATTTTCCCCGCAATGGAAAAATGTCCTTGGTAAGGATTAACAGAAAAAAACAACACGATAATAAATAAATAAATAAATAAAGAAAGAAAGAAAGAAAGAAAGAAAGAAAGACATTCAAGGATAGAAAATTCAAATAATCAAAAATTATCCTACAACTATAGTAGGAAGACCCACATCTTATTATTCTCTCAGAAAAAAAAAAAAAAAAAAAAAAAAAAACTCCTCAAGGACACTGAGCACTATATTGCACATTTTAAAAATTTACTATTTAAAAGGTGTATCAGCATTAAATAATTCTCAGTAATTTCCTCTCTGCTTAATTTAATTGTATCATAAGGAGTATGCCTGGTGGTTCACTAAGATAATCAACATCTATTAAGATAATCGTCTTGCCTATAATTACATTTAAAATGAAGAAGTTTTTAAAAGCAGAGCACTAGTATTGGGTAGGTTTTCTTATTCATATCACTGTTATATAAATTTCCCCGGATAACATCTTTATAAAATAATTTGGCTTTGAGTTAAGTTTAAAATGTATTTATTTTAGCTTACATATTTTAATTCTGAAAAATCGTTTTTAAATTACCTGTAAATAGCAATTGGTCTCTATTGAAAAACCAGAGATACCGTTGAATACTTATATTTTCTTTAAACACAACTATGTGAGAAGTGTAATTGATGACTGATTGGTGTATGTCCCTACATAATTAGTACACACCTAAATGAGAATATTAACCCACTTTGTATGAATTAGGACAACACAGGTATACAGGCCCTAATCTAAAAACAAATAAAATGAATGGACTTAAAATTAATTAGCCTATGAGTGATCAAGATTCTTTTAAGGTAAAAAATTATAAAGTGTAACATTTTCAAAACTATACTTAACAAAGGAAGAGAAATATGAATATTTTTCCTTTTGAAATAAACCAAAATTATTCTGTTCTTTTTTTCTTCTCATATCAAGATGATACATCACATCATCATAGATTTATTTATAAACTTTTACTTGTTTATATTAGAATCATTCTAAAATGGTTGTTAGACTGCCTAGAAAAATAAATGCAATTAATAAGAATAAGTACAAAATAAAAAACAGAACCAAAATAAAAGTGAGGAAATCAGGGCAAAAAAAATATAAAGATGGAAAAAATTAAGATGAAATCTGAATAAAAAGAACATACAACATGTATGCTATAAAATCATATTCGCAAACTAGATGAGTTTCACTGAATTGGCTCTGAGCTTTCTGGTGGCCTAGTCAAAAAGATCTGGACAGTTAGTGCAAAATTCATGTTATTTATAAGGTAAAAACAAACCAAATACTTAGGTGAAGCACAGTTATCACCTGTGAAAAGACAGGGTTTCCTTATACAGAGAATGCACTTGACAAAAATAAATAGTCTTGTGTACATAAAAACAAAAATGTGCCATGGTTTCACAAGCAGTTTATATAATAGTGTTCCTTAGTATAACCTAAAGGCAAGCAGCTTGGTAAAGCAATCTTCTGATGACCTATAATGGGGTCAGGTAACTCCACAGCTCTAGGTTGATCTACTTTATCAAAGGATAAAATTTAAATAACTTGAAAATTGAATGATCTTGCCTTCTCAAAACTGAAACCACACCCTGCACCCCCAAGGAGAGGCATGGACCTAGATGGATAGTTCTGTGTGTGCATATTCAGATTTATATGTAGATTGTCTCTGCCTCAGGAGTCTTCCCCAGGGATCCACGGTGCTTCCCTCCCATTGCTCCCAGTACACACTAGTTAAATAACCTACATCGGTGGCTCTCAAACTTGAATGTGTGTCAGAATCACTTGAAGGGCTTGTTAAAGCGCAGTTGCCATGCTCCACCCCTGAGTTCCTAATTCAGTAGGTCTGGGGTGGGTGTTGCAATGTGCATTTTAAACACATTCCCAAGTGATAGTGATGGTAGTAAAGAACCACACGTTGACAACCACTGCAAAGGTCAGAAAATTTTTTCTGTCAACGACTAAAAAGTATATATTGTAGGTCTCATAGGCCATGCAGTCTCTGACGCACTACTGTGCATTTGTAATACAAAAGCAGCCACACACAACACTCAAAACACATGGGCATGTAAGACTATTTACTAAAACAGGAGGTGGACTGAATTTGACCCACAGGCCAGAGTTCCCTGGCCCCAGGTCTACACCCATCTGCAGGGATCTGGAAACCCACACACAAACCAAAAAGCTCTGCTCTACTACTGGCCTTGTCATAGTGCCTGAAGGCTGCCACCAAAGAGTCAAACTTTTCACAGTTAAAGTTCTTCAAGTGATGACGAACTGCTGCGACCAGGGCTCTCTCCCTATCCTTGCCTCGAAGGTATTCACTCGGGAGTCTATTATAGATGAGGTCATCAGAGCCTATTGAAGAGGAGGGAAAAGTCTTTTATCTGAATACAAAGTTTGTCAATTGTATTCTCATGCTAAAGAGAGTGATCAAACAACGTTTATGAATGAAAAACCTACCTAACTCCAATGCCATGATCCAGCAAGACAAAATCTTGTGTATAAAAAAGTACATGAATGGACAAACACTAATATTTCTGTCTTATGTGACTTCTCTGTTCAATGAAAAAAATCTGAAGAAATAAATTTTGTGGGGGCATCATTAGCCCTGCTCAGCTGTCAAGTCATTTCCATTGACACTGGAGACCTGACTGCCTCTTAGCTGCAACGCTGAGGCCTGGAAAGCTAGGGCTGATGTCATGAGGGGGCCACTCTATATGCCTCAGAGATGGCTGCACCTCTGGGAGCCCCTGTTAAAACTGATCTCAAGCCTGGCCTGCATTACTCAGTGGTTGAGCATCAACCCATGAACCGGGAGGTCACAGTTCAATTACCAGTCAGGGCACATGCCCAGTGTTTGGGCTCGATCCCCAGTAGGGGGCGTGCAGGAGGCAGCCGATTGAAATTCTCTCATCATTGATGTCTCTCTCTCTCTCTCTCTCTCTCTCTTCCTTCCTCTCTCTGAAATCAATAAAAACATTTTCTTTTTTAAAACTGGACTCAAATTCCTTCCCCCCCCCCTAATATGGGTTTATAGTCCGCCTTCAGTCTGCAGATCAAGTTCCCATTTCCCAGTCCTGCTTCTCTCTATGCCACTACCAACACCCCTACCCCTTCAGTCTGCAGATCAAGTTCCCATTTCCCAGTCCTACTTCTCTCTATGCCACTACCAACACCCCTACCCCATCCTCAGCTTCATTAACTAAGCATCCTAGCCCATGACCCCCTCACTTATTTGGAAGCAATGACCTTTCCAGTCCACATGCCATTGCTTTCATTTATCTTTTATCTTTCATGACTTAAAGGAACTTCCCTGAATTAATGATGCTCCAAAACACTGTGCTGCATAAACTCACATAAAAATAAATACTTATTTTGTCAGTGAGTGGACTTTAACTAAATCACCTTCAGTAGTAGTTCTTAAACTTTAGTATGTGTAAGAGCCTACTGAGTCAGACTATCTGGGCATGGATCCCAGGAACCTGCATATTTAATAAAGTCCCTGAGTTGCAGGCTGAATCTCTGCTAGAGGTATGCAGGAAACAGCTGATCGATGTCTTTCTAGCTCTCACTTTGATTTTTCTCTCTCTTTACCTCTTCCTTTGTCTCTCTTTTAAAAAATCAATTTTAAAAAGTTTTTTTTTTATCCTAGCCGGTTTGTCTCAGTGGATGGAGCATTGGCCTGCGGACTCAAGGGTCCCAGGTTCAATTCTGGTCAAGGGCATGTATCTTGGTTGCGAGCACATAGCCAGTAGGGAGTGTGCAGGAGGAGGCAGCTGACCGATGTTTCTCTCTCATTGATGTTTCTAACTAACCCTCTCCCTTCCTCACTGTAAAAAAATCAATAAAATATATATTTAAAAAATTTTTTTAAGTTTGCTTAGAAATAAAGAAAAACTCCTGCTAAGTTTCTATAACCACTTTTAGAAAATGATTAAATGATTGATTAGGAAGAGAACAGCTCTTAATTATGTGGTTGTAGAGTACAGTGCTTTCTCAAAATAGAGGGTAAGTATAATTCATCTGGAAAAATTATTAAAATTGGGTTTCTGACTTGGCAGGTCTGGGTGGAGCCTGAAAGTTTGCATTTCTAAGAAGCTTGCAGAGACAACACTGCCTGCCTGCAGACCACATTTTGAGTAGCAAGGGCCTAGTACAATATCTGATTCATTAAAAGTCTGCCCCACTTCACTTTGGCTCGTTTAATACAGGCCACATGTATTTTCTAAATAAAACTGTGAGCCCTAATTGAAGAAATTCATTACAAAGGCTTTAATTTGTGCCTCTTTCAAACATGACACAAAAGCTTTTTTTCTTTCTTGTGTTACAAACTTTTCTTATTAATATTCCTATGATATTTTAAGCATCTAAAATTAGAAGCTTTGAGAGGAACGTAAGTGCATAACGTTGTGTGTGTGTGGCTGCCGGGTGGTGGGGAGGGTGTGCTGTTTGTTTTGTAAGGAGAAAGTCTGTGTATTTACCATAGTCGTCAGGACGGAGACAAGCTCCAAATGTGTGGTCCGGATGAACATTCATTGTTTCTGCAATGCTAGCCAAGAAAACAAATCCTTTAGTTAAAATACCCACCACATGGCATCCCTGGAATTTAAAATACGTTTGCCATATGTTTTTAATAGCCCATATTTTCTCCTATAACCAAACTATGACATTATCGAACAGAAGGTCTCCAGAGACAAGGAAGAGAGAGGAAAATGTAACAGTAAGTTAAAATGAAATAAAGCTTTACACAAAGTTCCCCCTCCCTCTTCTCCAAATGCCTCTCCATCCCAGAGAACTCGACACTTTTACTGCAACTACAGACACTGAAGAAGCTGACAGATCAACACACAAGGATGGCTTTCTTATTTAATAGATAGAAACAGATCACGAGCCAACATTTACCACAAGAGTACTTTTAAAATTCAATCTACAGACACTCTCGATTTGAAGTTAATCATTAACTTACGGATCTAAGACTCTCCCAAGTTGATGTTGAAACTTTTCTTTGAAATCATCAATTCTCTTGGATACAACCTTCGCTCCTTTTTTCCTACAATATTAGAAAATTGTCAGTTATCTCCACCACCTAAAGTATTTTTGGCTGCAAAATATACATATGGTAAGGAAAATCACAGTATACTTAAGGTCATCAGGAAAATAAATCCAGTTTCAAAATAAATTATATGCTAAAAAGAAAGCTCTATGCTCATTCTTCTATCATTCTACTAGTGGCCCAGTGCACAAATTCATGCACATTGAAAGGAATTAGTTAGGAGAAATACTTTAATTTCACTATTTTCCCTTTTTCTATAATAGAAGTGTCAATCAAATTCACGATCAACAATGACAGAATGATACACATGCATTTGAAGCTTTATTTGTATCATATATGCATGAGTCAATTTAGCCTTTTATAGATATAGAATAAACTTGCTTAATTAGACCTGGTTTTTTGATGTAGCTAAACTTTTTCCAGCCCAGTGAAGCATCCCAACTTCTCTTTCAGGTAATTGTCAGCCACACAGCAGTAAATATCAACACAAAGCAGATTATTATTGTTGATCATGCAGGGAGAACAAAGGGTAAAATATTTAACTGCAGCAGTGTTTGACTATAATCTGTGAAGTGAGAAAATTTGAAGTCATTTTCAAGGTCCACCATTTCTTACTTCTTTTCAGTTTGTTCAAGTTTCTAAACTTTCTAAATCTCTGTTTTCTGGCTAATAAAAAGAAAACAGGATTCCACTCCACCTCCCATCTACCTACTCTAGGACTTCTGTAAGGATCAAATGAGATGAAGCACTGGAAAATTCTTCACAGACATTTAGTTAAAGTGTTAAATGTTTCCACCTGGGCTGAAGAAACTGCAAGGAGGCTAGTCACTAGGGAGATGAAGGTGAGCATTGCTATGTGACCATTACCCAGACAGTCAGACACCTAGCATATCAGCCTTTTATATAGAGAGATTATAAAGGTAAATTAATAATACAATATGAAATTCTAATGAAAGAATGAGAAGGTCAACTTCAATTTGTTTTCAATGAACAAAACCAAGGTGTTAATGTTATTATTATAAATCTAACTTTTAAAATTGCTAAAAGAAAATTAAGCATTAAATAAGTAAATAATATAAAGATAACTTGCATCTAGTAAGCAAATATATAGAGAAATTATTATATTGTCCAGTAATGAAAGAATCCTACCTAATAAAAAAGCAATATGCAAATCAACCATCACTGTGCTACACTCAACAACTATCAGCCACGCCCACCAGCCAATCAGAGCGAGTATGCAAATTAACTCCAACCAAGATGGCTAGAGCTACAGAGAGCAGGAGGGAGGCTTGGGTTTCCCAGGCAACGAGAAAGTCAAGCTTTCCACCTGCACTTGCCGGCCTAGGCCTCCACAAGGCTACAAAGTTTCAATTATAGAAGGTAAACAAATCCAAACAGAAATGGCTGCCAGCCACGGAGTGACAAGAGGCTTGGCTCCGCTCCAGGCTACAAAGTTTCAATTATAGAAGGTAAATAAATTCCAGATGCCAGGGCCTCCGCTTGGGTCATCAGGATGCATGGCTGACCTGCAAACTACCACAGGCCCCTCGCCCAGGCCACCCAACACCCCAAGGGAACCGCCACCCTGATCCAGGACACCCTTCAGGGCAAACCTGGCCCCCACCCATGCACCAGGCCTCTCTCCTATCTAATAAAAGAGTAATATGCAGATTGACCATCACTCCAACACACAATAGCTTCCCCAATGTGGTCAAAGATGGCTGCCCCCATGTGGACACAAGATGGCCACCACAAGATGGCCAGCAGAGGAGGGCAGTTGGGAGGCACCAGGCCTGCAAGGAAGGGCAGTTGAGAGGGACCTGGCCTGCAATGAAGCGCAGTTGGAGGCGATCAACCCAGCAAGGAAGGGCAGTTAGGGGTGACCACGCCGGCAGAGGAGGGAAGTTGGGGGCAAGAATAATACAATATTCTTGCAGGGGAGCAGTTAGACATCAATCAGGCTGACATGGGAGTTGTTAGGGGGTGATCGGGCTAGCAGGCAAAGAAGTTAGGGGCAATCAGGAAGGCAGGCAGGCGAGCAGTTGGGAGCCAGCAGTCCTGGATTGTGAGAGGGATCCCAGATTGGAAGAGGGTGCAGGCTGAGCTGACAGACACCCCCTCTCCCGCTCCCACCCCTTGCATGAATATCATGCACTGGGCCTCGAGGGTAAAATAAACAACAAAGTACCATTTTTAACATAGTATACCAGCATATATATATATATATATATATATAGAGAGAGAGAGAGAGAGAGAGAGAGAGAGAGAGAGAGAGATAGAGAGAGAGAGAGAGAGAGACAGAGACAGAGACAGAGAGAGACAGAGACAGAGAGATAAAAAGACATCAAGAGAGACAGAGTGAAGGGAGACTGAGGAAGAAAATATTCAATATTGGCAAAAAGAATGGTAAAACACTTGCAGATTGCTAGTGCAAACTGCTATAATCCTTTTGGAAATAATTTGGTAATATAATTCAAAAAGCATAAAAATGTTCATTCCCTTTTTTATCTACCTCTGGGAACCAATCACAATAATATAATCCACATAACAAAAATGTAGAGAAGTTATATTTATAAAAATGTTTGTAGCCTCGTTGACTATAATGCAAAAAGAATATAAATATTCAATCATCAAGGGTGATTATATTTGTGTCATATTAACAACAATATTGCATGCAATTTAAATGTTGGTTATTAAAAATACACAGCAATATAAAACTATTTGATGTTAATGAAAAAGAATATAAAGAATGAGGTTGCACTCTGATGAAACCTATGCAGAAATCTATACAGGAAGCCACACTAGAAAAAATGCCTTAAAAATAATAATGGCTGAATTAAAGTGACAAAAATATGGGTGATTTTATTTTGCCAATTTTTTGTAATATAATGTTGTTACTTTATTGTGATTAAATGAGTAATATTTTTTTGAGAACTGTAAAATTATAACACTACTATTCAATAACATAAGAATAAATAAATTCTCTATTGTTTTGCTCAAGACTGAAAACACAATGAATATAAAATTCTTATATTGCATTTTCTTTTAAAACCATTTCCTGTGCTATAGAAATATCAAGCTGAATAAATTTCTGGAGAAGAGTGACACTCTGTGGAGAAACAAAAAATGAAATATAAAGTAATTCAATTCTTATTTCTTCATTTACTTTCCATTAGTTCAAAAAGAAGGGAAAAACAATATGAGTAACAGTGAGAATAAATCAATGGCAATTTAAAGGCCATAATTTAAAATAAATAAAGTTGACAATCTAAAAACCAGCTCCAAAACACATAATTAGGAACATGGAAGAACGATAAGGGTTATTATATAAACCATAGAGTCTATTCTCTCTAGTCTAATAGTGCCTGGATTATGCATCTGGGAGAATCAGAAAGTATCTGTGAGAAGCCATTTATGTCAGAGCTGGTGACCCAGTGCACAAAATTCGTTCACAGGGAGGGATGTCCCTCAGCCCAGCCTGTACCTTCTCCAATAGGGCCTAAACCAGCAGTTGGACATCCCTCTTGCAATCTGGAACCACAGGCTCTTACCCACTCACCTGCCTGCCTGCCTGATTTTTCCTAACCACTATGCTTCCCAGCCTGATCACCTTTAACTGTCTGCCCCACCAGCCTGCTCGCCCCCAACTGCCCCCCACCAGCCTGCTTGGCCCCAACTGCCCCCCTGCTAGCCTTCTTGCCCCCAACTGACCCCTCTGCCAGCCTGCTCACCCCAAATGCTCCCCATGCTGGCCTGTTTGCCCCCACCTGCCCCCCCCACCCCCGCCAGCCTGCTCCCAACTGCTCTGCCCTGCCAGCCTGATCATCCCTAACAGCCTCTGCCTGGGCCCCACCACGTGGCTTTGTCTGGAAGGATGTCCAGAAGGTCTCCTGGTCTAATTATCATATTACCCTTTTATTAGTATAGATATTAATAATTTAGCATTATTACACAACCTCACAGCATTCACTGATCAACTCAGAATAAAGTCCTTTGCATACCAGTAAAAATTTTTCACACACACACTTATTATTTGAAGATTCTAACTGATTCTTCAAATCAAAAGTCATAAACAGAATACAGATGGTAGAGGTAGTTTTACAGAGGAAATATATCACTTAAAAGTTAAGTCTAAACCAAAGTTATGTTAAAATAGTACATATAAGCTAAGCCAGCATGGCTCAGTGGTTGAATGCTGACCTATGAGCCAGAAGGTCATGGTTCAATGCCTGGGCTGTGGGTTCAGTTCCCCAGTAGGGGGCATGCAGAAGGCAGCTGATCAAAGATTCTCATCACTGATGTTTCTATCTCTCTCTCCCAGTCTCTTACTCTCTGAAAACAATAAAAATATTGTTTTTAAAAATAGTACATATAAAATTCAGATGCCTTAAGATGTAAACAAACATGCTTAATTCCAAGTTTATTCTAGAAATCACACCAAAAAGTAGTAAGTTCTTTTTATAGACTTTATTTTATATATTTTATTGATTTTTTACAGAGAGGAAGAGAGATAGAGAACTAGAAACATCGATGGGAGAGAAACATCGATCAGCTGCCTCCTGCACACCCTCCATTGGGGATGTGCCCGCAACCAAGGTACATGCCCTTGACCAGAATCGAACCTGGGACCTTTCAGTCCACAGGCTGATGCTCTATCCACTGAGCCAAACCGGTTTTGGCAGTAAGTTCTTTTTAAAAATCCAACAAATTAGCCGAAACCGGTTTGGCTCAGTGAATAGAGCATCAGCCTGCGGACTGAAAGGTCCTGGGTTCGATTCTGGTCAAGGGCATGTAACTTGGTTGCGGGCACATCCCCAGTGGGGGTGTGCAAGAGGCAGCTGGTCGATGTTTCTCTCTCATCGACATTTCTAACTCTCTATCCCTCTCAATTCCTCTCTGTGTAAAATCAATAAAATATATTAAATTAAAAAAATAAAAAATAAATAAAAATCCAACAAACTGAAGAAATAAATGCTCTATTATTTTAGCAACAATTTCCAATTAAGTTTCAAAATACAAAAATTATGATCAAATAAAACATTGTTCTATAAACAATGTTTCCTCTTGGATAGAGATACATTGAAGACAAATGTATCTGAGATATAATTCACATATAAAACAATATTTTTATTGTTTTCAGAGAGTAACTGTATACCAGTAAAAATCAGGCAGGCCCGGGGTCAACAAACTGCGGCTTGAGAGCCACATGCGGCTCTTTGGCCTCTTGAGTGTGGCTCTTCCACAAAATACCACGGCCTGGGCAAGTCTATTTTGGAGAAGTGGCATTAGAAGAAGTTTAAGTTTTAAAAATTTGGCTCTCAAAAGAAATTTCAGTCGTTGAACTGTTGATATTTGGCTCTGTTGACTAATGAGTTTGCGACCATTGCCCTAGATGTGTGTTTTGTGTGTGTGTGTGTGTGTGTGTGTGTGTGTGTGTTTTAATATATTTTTATTTATTTCAAAAAGGATGGAAGAGGGAGAGAGAAACATCAATGATGAGAGAGAATCATTGATCAGCTGCCTCCTGCTCGCTCCCCACTGGTGACCAAACCTGAAACCTGGGCATGTGCCCTGACCAGGAATCTAACCATGACCTCCTGATGCTTTAGTCAATATTCAACCACCGAGCCACATCATTTGGGCCCAAATAACTATTAAACCAAGATGAATCATAAAGGACTGGTTAATTATATGTGACATGGTTATCTTTGTAGAGATTTGAAAACCCATTATCTAGTCCTAGCTAGTTTGGCTCAGTGGACAGAGTGTCAGCCTCTAGACTGAATGGTCCCACATTCTATTCCAGTCAAGGGCACATGCTTGGCTTGTGGGCTTGATCCTCAGTAGGGGGCATGCAGGAGGCAGCCAATCAATGTTCTCTCTCATCATTGATGTTTCTTTCTCTCCCTTTCCCTTCCTCTCTGAAATAAATAAAAATATAAAAACAAAAAACAACCTATTATCTTTAAGAAATATCAATAGTGTTAACCCCATAGACCAAAAACATTCATACATGGCTTTATATTTGCTTGTAAAAATCACCAAGTAATTTTAGAGTGATATATATACTTACACATACACACACACACACAAATTATCATGATTATTTATGGGGGAACTGGTCAGTTTGGAAGATACACAACTACAACTTTTCTATTAATTTTATGTCTGAAACATATCATTGTATTACCTCTTCAAAAAATAAATCAACCCTAGTTCAGTTGATTAGAGAATTGTCCTGATCAACAAGGTTTCGAGTTCTATACCCAGTCAGGGCACATGTAAGAAGCAACCAATGAATGCATAAATAAGTGAAATAACAAATATCTCTCTCTGTCTCTCTCTGTCTCTCTCTGTCTCTCTCTCTCTCTCTCTCTCTCTCTGTCCATAGGTCATATATCTAACACTTGCCCCAGGATACAATATAATTAAACTTACATTTGTAATTCGTGGAGCCAATATAAACTTTGTGCAATGGTTCGTCCATCATTAAAATGTGGTGTTGAGAGCCCAAACAGGTTAAACCTATGGAAAGTTGACGGGTTATACTTTCGGTTCTTTGCTTCTCCTGTGAAAAGAAAGGGGAGACTTCTGACTTCTGCAATACAAATAACCTTATCTGGAAGAGCACATTATGTTCTCATTGACATTGAAAATGAGAGTAGAACAAAGAATGAAACAGTAACAGTGCAGAGACCTGCACATATTTGGCAACAGATGACAGAAGCATTCTCCCATGTGAAGTAGGAGACTGGCGGGACAAGAGTTCCTTGTATTAATATTTGGAAAGTATGTAGGGAAATGATGAAAAGTGCAGACCCAATTAACATTACCGAAATCCTGAAGATCAGGAAGGTTGCGTGATGCTTTGGGGTCCCAGGAGTCCTTACCATCATGTTAAGATCAGAGAAGTTGGTGTTCTGTACTTGCTTTCACTGAGATTTAGTGACATAATCAGAACACTGAAACCCTCACAGTTCACTAAAATCATTTATCTCATATTAGAAACATTCAAAGGGTGATTGAGAGCTGAGAACACAACAGGGAGGTCTTTATATTTAAGATCTATACTGTGTTTTTTTTCTTTTCAAGTAAAAAAATGTAGCATTAGTTTCTATTTCTAGATTAGAAAGTAAGACTGAAACTAGAGATTAGCTCAAAGGTTAAGATAAAATGGAGAGAAGATATTCAGACTCACTAGTAACCCAAATAAAGAAAAACAATCATGTGAAATTATAATTGGCCTCTCAGTTAAGTAATAATAAAGAAGATTGGCCCTAGCCAGTTTGGGTCAGTGGACTGAGCGTTGGCCTGGTTTGATTCCAGTCAAGAATATGTACCTTGGTTACAGGCTCCTCCCCGGCCCAGGCCCTGGTCCAGGGCTCCTGCAGAAGGCAACCAATCAATGCGTTTCTCTCGCATAGATATTTCTCTCTGTTTTCCACTCTCTCTTCCACTCTCACTAAAAATCAATGGAAAAATATCCTTGGGTCAGTATTAAAAAAAAAAAAAAAGATTGGCAAACGCATTATATGGGAAGATGTGGGGAAGTGAAAATTCTCGTATTCTGTGGGTGTGAGGGCAAATTGGGGAAGCTATTCAGGAGATCAGTTTGGCTCTAAGAGTGAAATTTTTTGATGCTCAGAAGTATAGGAATGTATATTCTAAGGAAATAGATCATAGTCACAAAGATATATAAACAATATTTTTTAATATTGAAAAACACAATATTGAAATGCACATGAAAAGATAACCAAGATATTTCATACAACGGGGAAGGAAGCAAATAGGAAAAAACATTTATACAGAGCAAAACACACACATATACTCATATATGAATGAGCAAATACAGCTCTGAGAGTATCATCTGTGCAAGATTGGGAGCTGTCGAAGATTTTCATTGTACTTTATGTATTTCTCTGTAGCTTGCAATTTATAAAAGAAATATCTATTACTTTAGTAATGATTTAAATTAAGTGTATTTAAAACAAGTTGTAGATGTGTACCTACTGAACAGTGTCCTTAACATATTAAGTTAATAAAAATGTATATAGCAGGTTCCCCAAAAGCATTGAGATTAAGATCACATTTAAATAAAGATAGCTCAATGAACAGTGGATTAGAAAGATGTTTAATATAAAAACTGTAGGTATCTCTGGTGAATGAGATTTCAAGGTCACATTTACTTTTTCATCATTTTTTAGATGTAAATTATACACGATATTATGTATTTTTACAATAAAAATGGAAATAATTTCATTATGAAGAAAATAAGGGCAATATTTAAAAGATTGGGTTTCATGACTTTTCAAGAGGCCAATGAAACATCTGTAAAAATAAGCAATGAAATTAAGTTCTTCAAAATATATTTTTTATTTTTTTTAAATATATTTTTATTGATTTTGAACAGAGAGGAAGGGAGAGAGAGATAGAGAGTTAGAAACATCGATGAGAGAGAGACATCGATCAGCTGCCTCTTGCACACCCCCTACTGGGGATATGCCCGCAACCAAGGTACATGCCCTTGACCGGAATCGAACCCGGGACCCTTCAGTCCCCAAGCCGACGCTCTATCCATTGAGCCAAACCGGTCTTGGCCAAAATACATTTTTTAAATCTACATTCATTTACCTCCAATTGCTAAATGAATCTAAGATACCTCACTGTAGGCTGTCTGTATACATTCATTCATACAGTTTTTTTAAAAAAACAACTAAAAGGCATTGGATTAGATTATGTGAGAGATGCTAAACTTTTCCCCAAAAAAGTAAATAAAATATTTTCACAAGAAAGAAAGGGAGGGAAGGAGGAGGAAAGGAAAAAAGAGAGGGAGAGAGTCAGAAAGTAGAGGGGGTAGAGATAGAGAAGTCAAGGTTGTGAGAAGGAACATGGTGACCAAGCCGGTGGCAGCAGTGATAGTCTGAATGGCAAGGCAGAGACAAATCTCAAGACTAGGATCCTATTGGAGAGTGTAGGGAACGAGCAGATATTGATCATGAAAGAAGAGAATGGCAGATTCCAGACAGTGGAACAATGAGCATAGGATACAAGTCTCGGCTATGATAAAAGTTTAGAAGGAAGAGCACAGACAGGGAGTAAGGTGGTGGAGGAGAAAAAGTAAAGAAATGAAGAAGGAGCAAGGGAGAGGGGTGCCTTGAGCTGCAATCAAGGGAGAGTCTTGCTTCTAGCTAATGGAAGTTGAGTTCATGAATCATTCACAATTCAGCAGCTTTCTCAGGACATATATCAGAGTCTAATTCTCAACCCTCTATCATATCAAGGTTCTACTTAACATCAACACATTAACAATTAATTTGTGTTTCATAGCACTATAAGCATCTAATGCCTTTCAGCTGTGCTGTAGAATAATTCTAGTAATATGTTACTATTAATCAAAATGACTTAATACTAATACCTATTGAGCTTTTACCATATTCCAGGCACTATGCTAAGCCTTTTGCAAGCACTCACTTAATCCTCACAATATTATTATCCCCATTTAAGAGACTAGATGTTAATAGGACAATTAAAATAACCAAGGTCTAAAAGAAAAGCTATAATTTGAACCGGATATATCTGATTCAGAAGTTGTTCACTTTAACCATTACCCAATCAATATTCCTCATATAAAGCTAAGCACTTAGAATAATCCTGACATTTTAAAAAGTATTTTAAAGCCTAAAACCACTAAAACGAAATAACACTATCTACCATTTAATCTCTCTTACCTGTCTTTTTATTTTAATCATACGTACATTTCTACATTTTATATAAAAAATGTGTAAGGACATGTGGCCCCAGCTATGGGGGTTGATGACCTTATTTTTTTAAATGTTATTATTTATTGATCACCCATGATATGCCAGGCACTTGACTTTATGCATTGTCTCTTTTATTCCTCTTCACAAATATAATAGTCCCATATTGGCAGGCCTACTTTATACTGGGGGACACTTACCCACATAATAATCATTGTGAGAAACAACATATAGGTCATGCCCTTCTTCTCCTTCTTTAAATACTTCATGAAAGGGTTTCGGTGGATTCACCACATCTCCAGCAGATATATCTGAAGAAAGAATTGATCACATCAGTTTTAAGGTATTTTAAAAATCTATTTATAGCCCTAGATGGTTTGGCACAGTGGATAGAGTGTCAGCCTGGAGACTGAAGGGTCCCGGGTTTGATTCCAGTCACAATCTTAGGGTGCAGGTGCAAGAGGCAGCCAATCAATGATTCTCTCCCATCATTGATGTTTCTATCTCTCCCTCTCCCTTTCTCTCTGAAATCAATAAAAATATATAATTTTTAAATATCTATTTATATTTAAATTAAGTAGAACAAATGACAAAGGTAAGCTGAATGCATAAGCCACATGGCCGCCCTAGAAGAACATAAAGCCAATATAAATGAAGATTTATTAAGATTGATGGGACATCATCTAGATTTTACTGTTTTAGGAACCCTCATTTGACCTGGCTCACTCCTTGAAGTCTGAAGAACATCAAAACTCTATACCAGTTAACCATTTAGGTTGTTCTGAGCCATATTCCAAGCCCAATTAAATTCCCAATTCTGAGATTCTCCAGACCATTTTGATTTTCGTTTGCTCCAGACTTCTCATGATGATCTAAGTAAATTTGAATCACAAATCCGTTTCAAAAACCCTGATGCCCTGTGGGGAAGCCTTGGTGCAAATTTTGGCAGCTGTAGACTGGAACATACACCCTGAGTCTGTTTAAATCTGAATATCCATCTTCAAAGTAGCCAAAAGAGCCAGGGAAATCACTAGAATCAGAAAGAAATTATTCTTTCTACTGATCCCAAACCATAGCTATAACTTGTTTCTTTAGTACCTGTTTTCTCAGGAGTGGTGGCCCACAATAGTGAATCATTTTGTTTTCATTATTTTACATAATGATTTTAAAATATAATTCCATTTACAATTTTATTCTTTCAACATAACAACATAGACTACTACTAATAATATATAATAATATAATAACTAGAGGCCCGGTGCACAAAATTTGTGCACTCCCTCAGCCCAGCCTGTGTCTTCTGGCTAAGCGGTGCTCCCCCTGTGAGAGCACACTGACCATCAGAGGGCAGCTCCTGTGTTGAGCATCTGCCCCCTGATGGTCAGTGCGTGTCATAGCAACTGGTCATTTCATCAGTCATTCCACTGTTTGGTTGAATATAATTATAATAAACACATTAACTAAATATATAACCATTGATATCTATCATACAATTAATATTAATATGTAATTTATATATTATAATAATTATAAAATAAATCTATTTATAATTTCACTCTTCCCTTTTAACCTAACAACATGTTTTCTTTCTTTTGGACTTTCTGCTAGAACTGAGGTCTGTAAACAAACAGTTAAGAATACCAGCCCTAGCCAGGTTTGGCTCAGTGTATACAGCATTGGCCTGTGGACTAAAGGGTATCAACTGCCTCCTGCACACCGCCTACTAGGGATATGCCCGGAACCAAAGTACATGCCCTTGACTGAAATTGAACCTGGGACCCCTGAGTCTGCAGGCCAATGCTCCATCCACTGAGACAAACCGGTTAGGGCTAGATGTGCTTCTTTCACATTGATGTTTCTCTCTGTCTTTCTCTCTCTCTTCCACTCTACCTAAAAATTAATGGGAAAATATCCTCGGGTGAGGATTAACAACAACAACAAAAAGAGTACCAGAGGGTGGTCATACTCAAAATAATATTTTTTCTTCACATGTACTTCTTTCTACTAGATGAACCACTATACTTATTAACACACACATACACATTTTGGAACATGATATATTTAAGTGAGGTATACCTAGACAGTACTTTTCTTATTAAATGAGCTAGTCCTGGGGTGTGATCAGAGCAGGGAGCCCGAGAATGGCTCCTCTGTTTACAACACATCCAATAGGAACGTGGGGTACTCTTCACGGGGGCAGAACACTCTGACCTTCCTGTGACATGACACCCTATACATGGAAAAAAAAAAAAAAAAAAAAAAAAAAAAAAAAAAAAAATGAGCTAGTCCTAGACAGCACTTATGATATCATTACTGTAATACTGTAATCTCATGCCTACATAAATAAAATTTTTAATTCTATTTTTTAAAAAGATATTTTATCAGTTCTAAAATACATTTTCCGTATTTCAAATTTTAACTTAAGATCTGATACAATAAAATACAACTGAATATTTTGCATTCCAAGGGAGTGGCATAATTTATATCCAGTGTGGATGTTACTATGTTAAGGAAAGAAATCTGATGGGCTTTTTGGTGAAAAAAGTCCTGGAACGGAGCCTTAATGGGTGCAGAAAGACAAAGAGAACTGAATTTCTCTGCAGGACAAAGATGGAATTTGAGGTCTCCTGTAAAGACTCAAAAGAGGGTAGAAATCTGAAAAAGATAGTAGAAGATAAATGTGAGAAGCGTGTAAAGAAAGGTGCTTGACAACAGGGCAGGAAGCTGGGGCTTCAGAAGAAATAATGGCCTTGATCAATTAAATTATACATCGTTGTTTGTTGAAATATGTGCTCCACTCCCTCTCAAAATGAGAAGACAAGTCTGTTCTATACACTGCCTATGTTTGTTAATATGTGGTACACACTGGGGATCTGCATGTGCAGAAGGAGATGTCAGCGTTTACCAATGGCAAGGAGCTTTATTTGTTGCTTGACCTACTTTATGGAAGAGTTTCGTAAAGAGTTCAGATGTATGAACACATCAGGGGTATTGCAAAGAAAAAGAAAAAAACATCCACAAATGGACGTACAGGGAGACGGGATTGCAGCCAACTTTCCCAATGTCAACTTTCCTGTCATATATATATATATATGACTGAAGAATGAGAGATGGGATCATACCAACAAAGCTACTCTTTTTCCTGTCATATATATATATATATAATTATTTATTGGCTGCTTCTTGTATGTGCCCTGACCAGATGGAATTTGCAACCTTGAAACCTTGATCCTTAGCATATGGGGATGACACTCTAACCAACTAAGATACCCAGCCAGGACTCTCTTTCCTGTCTTTACATCATCTCTACTATGCTCACCGAATCTCCACTTCAAAACCTGAACTTTTACTGCCTGGCACACATAAACTCTAAGGTTTCTGGGACTAAGAGTAGCTTTGTTGGTATGATCCCATCTCTCATTCTTCAGTCATCATTGGTACCACCACCACCACCAAACAAGGTAACAATTGGATATTTAATCCCATTTTCTGAGAATTATTTGCCACCCCTCCCATCCCTTATTTTATTTACTACCTCTGATGACTTTTGTTCCAAATGTCGTATTGTGTACATCCAGGCCTTTAGGTAATCCTGGTGATTGATCATGAGATTTTCCTAATGGTGCTCGTTGATTACTGAAATATATTGATTCCTTTTTATCTTTAATTTTCTGTTGGTATGTTGTAATAGGCTGTGGGTTTATCAATACGTCTGCCTAAAGAAATCATACAAAGCACAGAGGTAAGAACAAAGGAAGCAAACATCTAAAAGCTGACACTCTAAATCACATGTGTCAAACACAAGGCCCACAGGCCAAATCTGTCCCGCCAGGCCTTGCAATGTGGCCCGCACCACGCTGTCATCACTGCACTCCGCTGCGTTTCCATCACAATGACAGTTTATGACTGTTCAGTAAACCATTCGGCCCGCGATTTAGGCTGGATTTTAGATTTTGGCCCCTTCTCTGATTGAGTTCGACACCCCTACTCTAAATCAATAGCTAGAGAAAGGAAATATGATTGTAGAAAAACAATTCCTCATCACTGCTTTGCTCACTTTCAAAGGAACTGTAAGAGAACTGTATGAAGCTTAAACATACCTAAACATGAACTTTCAAAGGGGTTAAAAGGTTTCAGTGGGGTTAAAAGACTTATGAGAGGAGCACCCAGGTTACTTGACTCCAATATTCCAGAAAAAATGGGAATGCCAAACAAAAGAAGCACATGAATTCAACAAGTGTTTTTTCTGAATCTAGATTGTCCATTCAATGAATGGACAAATATCTAAGCACTTTGTAGTACCTCTAGGCAATTATCACCCAGCCTTTGTTGTTCCCTATAAAGCCTGACAGCATTCCTTATTACTGTCAGAATATGGAGTGCAATTTGGCTTTTAATATTTGAGGAAAGAGCCAAAACCGGTTTGGCTCAGTGGATAGAGCGTCGGCTTGGAGACTGAGGGGCCAGGGTTCGATTCCAGTCAAGGGCATGTACCTTGGTTGCGGGCATATCCGCAGCAGGGGGTGTGCAAGAGGCAGTTGATCGATGGCTCTCTCTCATTGATGTTTCTAACTCTTTATCTCTCTCCCTTCCTCTCTGTACAAAATCAATTATATATATATTTGAGGAAAGAATATCAAGGTTGTAACTTTAACCATTAATTTTTCCACCTGGGAGGGGGAAGAAGAAAGTAAGGGGAAAGACAGGAGAGTTGCCAGATTTTTTTTTTTTTTTTTTCAGTGCTCAAAATGTAGAGTGGAAAGGAGAGTGGAACTGATGGTTTCATTAATACCTCACTTGTGAATTTTCATCTTGCTAAGTCAATATACAGGGGGGAAAAGAAAAAGAAGTTACCGGTTCTGAAAGTTTAGATCTTATTCCATGTGTCAAATACTGTGCAATTTGAGGGTCATTTGCTCTGCCATAAAATACTCTTTCGGCTCCAGCAGGTGGATATCTGAAGTTGTAAAATTTTTTTGCCTCGGGTGGAGTAATTGGCTACAAATAGTGAGACAAGAAAATAAAATTATCAAGTGCAGTTTTTAAAATATTAGGACTAAATTATATCAGAGATTGTCAACCAGTGTGCTACAAGTACTTTTGAAACATGCAATACCTGACTATTTAGTCAGGGACACTGACTTCTTTTCCCTTAGATTGTCAAATAAAAAATGACAACATATAAGTACAACCAATGGACACAAAACTCTGGGGAGGGAGGGCATGTATGGGGGGGGGGCAATGGTATATGTACACAGATAATAATTTAATTTAAAAAAAATTTTTAAATGACAACAGCCAATGCAATAGCCATCTGGTATGGCTGAACCAAACTTAGACCTATTTTTTTTTCAGGTTGGCAAAAATATATTTGTTTGGTGTGCCACAGAATTTTAGTTATTAGTTTATGTGCGCCATTGTTATTGGACCCAGAAAAGCTGTTATTGGACAGCCCCCTGAGTCCAAGGAAAACGGCTGTCCCCTCCTCAGTTTTTATCAATCTCGTAGGAAAGATTTCAAACGAGTGACAGTGGATAGTGGTATTGTAGTATTGAATGTATTAAGGAAGCAAAGCAAGCAAATTTATTAAGCAAGCGAGGCAAGCAAATTTATTAAAAATGTAGTTGGCATAAACCACAAGTGAGTGTCCAGCTAATATGGGTGTCCTGCTTGGTGGAGGTTTAGGGTTTTATACTTCTTGGTCTACAGATTTCAAGGTTCCACTGCAAGATATCATGGGCACAGACTAGATTACTTTGTCATGGCTTTCCCAGAAAAATCCCAAGACTGCTGACTTCCTTGTTCAGTGAGTGAGATAAAACTACCCCTTTTCTCCTTCTCCCTTACCCCCCTCACCCCCATCACCTGCCTTAGCAGTTCCAAGGTGACTTAAGCTATGTATTTTCTTATTAGGGAGGAGAGGTATTAAGCATTTGCTCTCAAGTGCCCTTGGTTGGGGAAGATAAAAATTCCTTGCAAGCTGCCCCTGCAAGCTGCCCAAACTGTTTGGCCTTCTTTAATTTTCTTGTCTCAGTTTCTCTAGTTCCACTTGTCCTGGCTTACTGGCCTGTCTCACCATGATATGAAAAGAAAAAGGTTGAAAATTGCTGATCTATACCAATCAATGAACCCTTTCATTGCATGCATATAGTAAGCACATGGCTTACTATATGCTCCAAATAATAAAATTTCCTGAGATTTGGGTTTTTTTTAATGGAAATAAACAATTTATTTTAAAAGTTACATTTAAGAAGTACCCAGGTTAGAAAGCATACCATAAATATTTCCTTTTGAAATAAATGGAATCCCTTCTTTGGCTTTTTATAAAGCTGGAAATCATAGAACTAGAATTTTCACTTCCTTGGATAAAATCTACAGAAGCCCTCAAAATACGATAGACTCCAAAATACAATAAATCCAATAAATTAACTTTAAACAATCTGCACAAGGAATGTTGACAGTTGTCTATCTTCTAATGCTCCCATTCAAGGTAAAAAAATATAAACACAAATGCATATTGAAAATGCTCACCCTTGGAAGTTTTTCAGTCAAGCAGGCTGCAACTCTGTCTCCAATCGGAATAACTTTCCCTGCCTAAGAACAACAACAACAACAAAAAAGTCTCACAGTTAATCATTGTGGGGGAAATGGAGGGTGAGGGGTAAGGAAAGGTAAGAAGGGCTTGGGGGGTAAAATTCTGAAGAATGAAATTTATTTCAAAATTACCTATGCTTCTAATGCTACAAAAGTTACTTTCAGTTACTTAACACAATTGAGGGAAAAGGTAAGAACAAACTGCAAATCTAAAGCAATCTTAATATATAATATAAACATTAAATTCTAAGTATATATAGTGATAGCATTGTAGTCCAATCACGTGAGCTCTGTGAAAAGCTAAGGGAATCAATGTTCAGTAATAATCTTGTCAGAGTTCATATCAGTACAATGGGAACATGGCTATGTTCAAGCTAAACTCAAGATAAAATGTTAGGTAATTCCAAGCATATGGGTGTGTTTGTGTGGGGGTATATTTCCGTCAACACCCTAACTTTTGGTATATAACACCCAGGGGCCCAGCTCCTTCAGTGAATGTCCACGGTTCACTAGATTCAAATTTGGATTTTATCTTTCTTTCTTTGCCCAAGGCAAAGATTATAACTGTTCGTTCCCAGCAATGCACCGCTTATCTATTTCCCTTTTATCATTTCAAAGCAGCTGACAGTTATGTCTTAGATCTCATCTGGGTGCTCTTTAGGTCTGGTGCAGAGATCTTGGCCTGGGAATTTTTCCTTTGCCTTTCTTCAATTAGATTGCCCATTCTCTCATCTACTCCTCCTTTGGGTTTACTCCCCCATTTCCCTGAAGAAAATTCTTTACTCATTATAATGCGTAAGAAGCCAATTACGATTCCTTACATCCTTGAAAATTATTTTACTCTTACATTGGTTAATAGTATGACTTGGTATAGATTACAAGGCAGCAAATATGCAATTTTCTTTCTGAATGTTGAAGGCATTATGCCAACGTCCTTTAAGAGATGGCCTTTGCCTGTCTGGTGTGGTTCAGTTGGTTGAGCGTTGTTCTATGCACCTGTTCAATTCTAGGTCAGGGCACATGCCCAGGCCACAGGCTCGGTCCCCGGCAGGGGGTATTCAGGAGCAGCCAATCAATGTTTCTCTCTCATCAATGTTTCTATCTTTCTCTCCCTCTCCCTTCCTCTCTCTGAAATCAATAAAAACGTATTTCCAAAAATAACAGTAAAATAAAAGATGGTCTTGCTGTTGAGAAGTCGGATGCAGTCCTGAATTTTGTCCCATGGTATGTGACTTCTTTCCTCCCCTAAATATGGTAGTATTTAGAATATATTGGCTGATATCTGAACTCAAGCAGGATGGCTTCCAAAGTCTACTCTGAAGCAGGATATTCTACTGCCTCTGTATGCACTATCTACGGGGAAGAGGGCTGGCTTTACTCCTGGCTGCTGGCCCTCCAGACGCCTTTGGGAGAGGAAGCTAGGGAAACGGCAATATAAGAAGTACATTTTACTTTTAATGCCCCATTTTCAGCCTGGAGATGCCCCCTGTATTATCTTGGGCTTGGTGTCTTTGAGGCCAATAACCACTCTGGGAAAATAAATCCACAGTTTCAGAGGAAGAGAGTGGAAGCTGGTGTAGAGAGGTAGGGAGTTGAAGTAGCACGGGATGGAAAGGAAAACTGGAAACCGAACTACACTGAATATGAACTTTCAATCCTTTGATTTTAAGATCCAAGCTTTACTATACCTTCTCCCAAAGGCTGAGCTTCTCAGAGGTTGTTCCAGGCAAATTGGACCATTTCTGGTGGAAATTACCACCTGATTATCCTCAAACTTCATTGTTTTCATGCTCTGCAAAATCAGTGTTGCCATATCTCAATCTTCCTATTTTCTAATATTTATTGAAATTTCTTAATTGTTGCCGAAACCAGTTTGGCTCAGTGGATAGAGCGTCGGCTTGGGGACTGAGGCGGTCCGGGTTCGATTCCGGTCAAGGGCATGTACCTTGGTTGCAGGCATATCCCCAGTGGGGGGTGTGCAAGAGAAAGCTGATCGATGTCTCTCTCTCATCGATGTTTCTAACTCTCTATCTCTCTCCTTTCCTCTCTGTACAAAATCAATAAAATAGATTTTAAAAAAAAAAAAGAAAAGAAATTTCTTAACTGTTGTCTTCTCTTCTGTTTTCTTTTTCTTGTGGCTTGTTTACCTTCATTCATGTTTTAAAATATATTTGTATTGATTTCACAGAAGAAGAGGGAGGAGAGATAGAAACATCAATGATGAGAGAGAATCATTTATCAGCTGCCTCCTGCATATTCCCCCATTGGGGACTGAATCTGCAACCCAGGAGTCAAACCATGATCTCCTGGTTGATGCTCAACCACCGAGTCACACCAGCCGGGCTGGTTTATTATAAAAAAAACAAACAAACAAACAAAAAACTACTGAAGGCCCCAGAAATCAGGAAATTCTGTAATGACCCCATTCAAATATCACCAGTTATCCCAATACTGTCCTTTATAAAAAAAAAAATTTCTCTTTGGCTCTCAAAGGTGTTTCAAGTTCATATCATACTGCACTGGCCCTAGTCAGCCATTGCTCCAGAGAGTCCTGATTCTTTTTATGGACAAAAGGGGCCATATGCTAATCTGACAAGCTCAGGGAAGGCCAGTATGGTGGTCTTGCAAACTCAAAGACCTAAAGTAATCAAAAGGATGGTCAGAAATTAAACTTTAACTAAAAGCAGTTATGGTGGGTAGTCACCTCCTAGGCCTGTATCTTCCCTGACATAGTCAAATAACATATCACCTAAATGTCAGAGCAACTTCCCTTTTTACCAGACCCCTCAGGGCACAGCCAAATGCCCTGGGTGCCAGGACAGATAGCACAAATTTCTTCACTGTTATTGCTATCATGTTAATTGTTGACTGTTAACTATTCTGTACCAGCCCAAGTAAAAGTATGTGTCTATCATTTTACTCTTTATCCAATCCCAAAGGTTTCTCTCACCCACTCTCAAACCCTGCCCCCATTTGCTTTCTCCTGCCTCTCTAGTCTATCATCAATGGATTTCTTGTAACCCACCTAGGTCTCCTCCTTGATTACAATGTATAAAAATAGATGAAAAACCACCCTTCTCTGGAGCATTATCCCAATCTGTAGAGATTCAGCTTCCTGGCAATTGTCAATAGTTTGGCTCAAATAAACCCACAAAAGTTCTTTACAGACTTGAATGTTTTTACCTTAACACTTTCAATAGAACGATATTTAGAAATTAAGATCTATATTTTGGTGTGCTCATTATTACTAGATAAACATTATTTTAGGTCCTCTGAGAAGATAGAATTAGGAAATGTGTGTGTGTGTGTGTATACACACACACACAAGCCCCCACACAATAGCATCTGTAACAATTCTATATTGTTTAGTTAAATGTGTGTAAATACATAGATATGGATTTTGACATGGACACACAGAAGGACAGATACAGAGACATAGGTATAAGTATAGGTATTGCATCACTTTCCACCAATACCTCCAATTACTACCCAATACAGAATTATTTCTATCCTCATATTTATAGGGGTTTTTTTTCCTCTATGAGTGAGAAATCTGGCTCCTATTGTCCTCAATATATTCACTTATCTGTTCAGGCTTCTGTATGTAACCAAATTCCCACTGCACTGACCTACTCCTTGCTCATCCACTTCCTTGCTCAGTTCCTAACCATACCAGTGTCATCTCATATGACTACGTCCTCACCATTCCCCAATATTACAGCTTTCAGTGACCTATTTTAATTCTTATACTGTTAGTTTTCAAGATTTAAGTCAACTTAGGAAGGTTAATAAAAACCAGTCTTGCCGAAACCGGTTTGGCTCAGTAATAGAGCGTAGGTCTGCGGACTGAAAGGTCCCAGGTTTGATTCTGGTCAGGGGCTTGTACGTTGGTTGCAGGCACATCTCCAGTAGGGGGTGTGCAAGAGGCAGCTGGTTGATGTTTCTCTCTCATCGATGTTTCTAGCTCTCTATCTCTCTCCCGTCCTCTCTGTAAAAAATCAATAAAATATAAAAAAATAAAAAATAAAACAACCAGTCTTGGTTGCTGAAGAGCCAATAACCCATAATCATGTCACCTTCTACTCTCTAAACTCAGTGTGGTTTAATATTATGGTTCCATCTTCCCACTGGGCATTGGCCAAGATCACCGTGTCTTACCCATAGATATTCCTAATTCTGAATATCTCAGGAAAAGATGCGATAGTATCAATTTCTTTCTGCCCAGAAGGCCCTGAACCCATTATGCAACCACCCACTTCTCAGAATTCTGCAGAGATTGGATCTTTACAAATTCATACAAAATAAGAATTTTCAGTACCAGGGCTTACATAACTAGCAAGTTCTCACAAGATTTACTGGGTGACTCATTTGCTTCTACCCATTTCTCAAATATCCTTAGTATAGAACAGGAAAGAAAAAGAAGGCATTTATTTTACATGACTTTTACCATATTATAAAATCATTTGTCTGTTTGGTCTTGAGTAGCTCTAAACTCTAAGTTCCTAGAAAGTAGACACCTTATCATTTTTCAGTTTTGTAGCCACAGTGCCTAACATACTGTCTCTTTATTGTAGGCACTATAATTGGTAAGCCTTTCTTTAAACCTTTCCTTCTTTCTTCCTATATCATGACCAAGTAGGGCTTAGGCCAGAAACATGAAGATTGTTCGTTGTTAGAAAATGAAACATTTCAATCTGGAAAGATGTATTTCAACCAATGGAAATAGCTCAAGGTCTATTTCTGATTTTTAAACATTCTTAGCAAACTGAGAGTAGATATAGGTGTCCTTAATTTGACATATCAAAATATTCAGCAAAAATTATACTCAATAGTGAAGCATTAGAATTATTCCCATTAAAGTCAAGAAAAAAGCCTTATGCAATGATATAGAAAATATAAATGAGAGGCATATATACTAAAGAAAAAAAGATAAAAGCATCAATATGATTGTTTACCTAAAAAATCCAAAAGAAGGTGCTGGCTGGGAAGCTCAATTGGTTTGAGTGTCATACTGCTATGCCAAGGATTCGGGTTCAAACCCCAGTCAGGGCACATTCCAGAATCAATCAATGAATGCATAAATAAGGGGAACAATCTCTCTCTCTCTCTCTCTCTCTCTCTCTCTCTCTCTCTCTCTCTCTCTCTCTCTCTCTCATCAAAGAAAAAATGAAAAGCAATACAAGCTGTTGACCAAAAAAGGGAGTTGCATGTAAATGGAAAAAGAAACATGAATATTAGAATATAAAATGTCTCTAACTGGTTTGGCTCAATGTATACAACGCCGGCCTGAAGACTGAAGGGTCCCGGGTTCGAATATGGCCAACGTCACATGCCCAGGTGGGTAACAGGTTCGATCCCCAGTGTGGGGCGTGCAGGAGGCAGCTGATCAATGATTCTCTCTCATTATTGATGCTTCTGTCTCTCTCTTCCCATCTCCCTTCCTCTCTGAAACCAATAAAAATATATATTTTTTAAAAAAAGAATACATGTATCTCAGTGAGAGGATTGAGAGATGCAGACTAAGGAATGAAATAAAGGTCACAGGAGAAAAGTAAAAATCAAGAGGAACTACTGGTGTGCACAGAAAAAAACAAAGCCGACATCTAGAAAGGAAGGCAGAGAATCAGAGGAGACTGGACAAAGTAACAGCTGGAAAGAGTCCAATGGGACAAGGAATATCAGAATCCCAATGAAATGTTGGCAGTTTAACTCCACAAACCCAAACAAGTATCGTCAGTTTATCATCTCTATGACGATATGGCCATACCTAGTTCCCAGGGAAAATACTAGAAAAAAAAAAAAAAAAAGACTTACGCTTGGATAGCACGGCATTCGATCAAAAAATTTCCCAGTGTAGATGGGTCTGATGCGATCTGAAGGTTCCACTCCAGGTTCAAAGTTTTCAGCCTCCATTTCCTCTTCGGGTTGTTGGGCAAACTGGCACTCAGAAGGTTCTATCACCAAGCCTGTTGAGGGCTCTGTATTCCCCACTGCATCTGGCTCCTCTGGTTGGGGCAGCCCAATGTCCACTTCCACAGGACACGTCATCTCTGCACTGGGCTTCACCACCACACAGGAGGGCTCTTTTCCCAGTTCCTGGCTAGGTGCCACACCCAAAGCCTGCTGTTTGTCCACGGAGGCCCCAAACCCTTCAGGGGCACCAGCCACAGGGCCTCTCCTGCTCCCCAGAGCCTGTGGGCTTCCACACACCATACCCAAGGGATCCCGTGTTCTCCTTCCAGACCCCTTTACCAGAAGACACTCATTTTCTGGCAACATACCCAGGGGAGGTCTTGTTTCCTGTGAGGCTGAGACCCTGGTGACTCCTAAATTACTCCTCTCCATGGGGGTCCTCGAAAGATCCTGTCTTTTTAATCTAAATTCAAGCCCTTTGTTCAAGTTCAATGGACATTTTGTTTCTGATGATGCCGTCCTCTCCTCATATTTGCCACTCTCCAAGGGTCTCTCCCTCCACCGGAAATCTTCTTTTCCTAATCCTACTCTGAGCCCACACTCTGTGGGAGATACTGTTCTCCAGAGCACCCTCCTCTCTCCTAAATCATCCTTTTCTTTGTGGGTTAATCCAGCTCCCATGCTCAGGGGAGACGTCCCCTCAGACACCCCCGTGCCTCCAAAAGCACTAATCTCTAAGGGGTAACCTCTACCTGTCTCAAAGGAAGTTCCCAATTTCGTCCGGGGCTCTGACCCTTTGGGGGACCCCACTCTCTCGAAAGAGCACATCTTCACTCCCCACTGCTTTCTCCCTACCACCTGACACCTATGGAGTTCACAGAGGAAAAGGAGCTCAAGTTCTGTTTACCGCGTTGCCTGGGAAACTGGGGTGTGGCTAGGCGGGCAATTCTTTCCCTGAGTAACCCTGTCCATCTGCCCATCTCTCTCCTCCTTACTTTCTCTCTTATTCTCTCCCTCCCTCGCCCCCCTTCTTTACTGGATTTAGATGGCAAGAGAACTTAAAGAATGTGCTCTTGGACACTAGAGCAAATGCTCACCAACTTCTCTGGTTTCCCAGGATGGGATCAGCCATGGGCCTCCTCCTGGCCATTGGCCTATTCATTTTACTGGTGATCAGGGAATAAATAATTCTTTCTGTTGGTGATCACTAATTTTAGGTCCTATCTTATGCAAGTGCATGCACACTGCATTTAGTTCTTTTAGCGCTAGAGAACTACTTTATTATTAAATGATTACATTTAAGTTATATCTGACAGCTGTGGTGTAGAAATATCTTAAAGTATTTGAGAACACTAACACTTTAGTAACTAGGCTTTGAATGACATTTGAAGTAAACATATGATGGAAGTTTAATATATTAAAGTTTGAGATGTGTTACACAAGAATGCATGTTGATTTTTAATTTGCATATTGGTGTTTTAAATAGACTGTGGCAAACTCAAACTTTGTCTTTGGAGTTTGGGATTTTCTTTAAAAAGAAAATCCTCAAACTTTGTCTTTGGAGTTTGGGTTTTCTGTCAGGTTTTTTTGTTTTTGTTTTTTGTTGTTTTGTGTGTGTGTGTTTTGTTTTGTTTTAGTGTGACTGGCTGAAGAGTAAAGAATAGATTGCAAAGGCAAGAGTATGCATTAATTCCAGTTTATATAAATGCTGTATAGCCGAGGTGTTGGGATTAGGTCACGTTTGGGGGATTAAAGAGTTTTTGGTGATAGAAAGGACAATAGTTCGTGGGAGAAAGAAGGAAGAACTGAAGATGATCCTGCCCTTCCAAGTCTGGTGACTGGGAGGCTGTTCATACCAGTCACCACGCAGAAGCAGGTTGGTGATGGCATGGGCTTGATTTCGGACATACTGTTGACATGCCAAAATGGATGCGACATATCCATTTTCCTAATCCTTCTTGGGATTGTCTATGACTAACATGATATTAGCACAACCCCTTGGGGATAAAATGCCACAGATACCATTTACCTGTGACACATTACGTTCTTCTAGTTAGTAATTGGGGAGTGAACCAAAAGACTGGCTGTTCAAGGATTCAAATCATCTTCATTGCATAATGTTGACTGAGCACCCACAGGATATCTTATCCCAAGTACACATCCTAGACAATCAATACTGATGCCCTCACAACAGAGCTATAAATGGCACACAGCAAACTGAAAAGCAGCCATTATCCTGAGTGAAAAATCAATTTAACAATCTAGCAAATCACAAAACAAAATGTGTTTGTTTTACTTCAAATGCCTGGCCAGATGCTGCTTACTGTGTGAGATTTAACCAAAGCAGCCTATCTTATGCAGGTCTGCAGTAGAGGGTAATGAATGTTTTGAGTTGTCTTTCTCTAGAATTTGTGCTTAAGAAATCCAGTTCTGGCCGAGACCGGTTTGGCTCAATGGATAGAGCATCGGCTTGGGGACTGAAGGGACCCGGGTTCGATTCCAGTCAAGGGCTTGTACCTTGGTTGCGGGCATATCCCCAGTAGGGGGTGTGCAAGAGGCGGCTGATCTATGACTCTCTCTCATCGATGTTTCTCTCTATCTCTCTCTCTTCTTCTCTGTACAAAATCAATAAAATATATATATTTTTTAAAATCCAGTTCTGGGGCTGGCTTGCAGGTTAGAATATAATTTCATCACCTAATCCGTGTTGATTTTGGACAAGTTACACAATCTCTGTGCCTCAAATTCTTTCCCTCTATAACAGGTATGCCTCATTCATTCATTCATTCATTCATTCCATAACCAATACTGCAAAAGACTCCAGACTGCCAGGCCCTGTGCTAACCGGACATTGGAGAGGACAACTTCAGGTAACTTCTATGAAACATTTAGTATAGTAACCCATGAAGGAAAACTCTGAAAGAAAAAGAAAAAAAAAAAAAACTAGCCATTATTTTCGATGTTGTCCTGTGCTCCATAAAAATAGTAAACTCACAATAAAAGCAAGTGAAAAATTAAAAATAAAAATAAATAAATAAATAAATAAAAGCAAGTGATTATTTTAGGTTTCCCCCTCCCCCTTTAAAGACAACTTTGGAGCCCAGCTGGTGTGTGGCTCAGTGGTTGAGCATCAAATCTATGAACCAAGAGGTCATGGGTTTGATTCCCCATCAGGGCACATGCCCAGATTGCAGGCTCGATCCCCAGTAAGGGGTGTGCAGGAGGCAGCAGATCAATGACTCATCATTGACGGTCCTATCTCTCCCACTCACTTCCTCTCTGAAATCAATATATATTTTTTTTTTTTAAAGACAACTTTGGGGTTAGGGAAGGTCTTAGCCTCCTTCCTAGAGAAAGGTCTACCACTGACTGCCTTCACCGACCAACCTGTCCGCAGGATATAATGGGGGTCTGTCTCCTGTTAGACAAGATCCACAATCGGGGTGCCAGAGTTGGGGTGCTGCGGGGTAGGGGAAGAGGGGACTGTGAGTTAATATTCACAGAGGGAATTCGCCGCCCCACGTGGCCTGAGAGCCACAAATACAAGTTCCCTCCGTATCTCCCCCGAAAGCAGGGCGGGCACGGAGCTGCCCCCGCCCCCGGGCGCGGGGAGCGAGACCGCCGCCCAGATAACAATGGCGCCAGCGAGGGCGGGGCCCCGCGCCTGCGGGGAGGGCGGCGCTGGAGCTGCCGGGACCACGTGACAACGCCCACCCCGCCCGGCGACCCGGAGGGTTCGGAGAGCAGCGGGGCCGCCGAAGGACTGGCGGCGACAGGAAGTGACGTAGGGCATCGTTCGCTACGTGCGGCGACGTGGCGGCGAGGCCGGCGCCGGGCGGCGGAAGTGGCTTCCGCGCCGGGGCTGGAGTGTTTGTGTTTTGGTTCGCGGAGGAGCCCGCGGCCGGCCCGAGAGGAGGAGGCGGAGGAGGAAGGGGGAGGAGAAGGAAGAATTAGTGGGAACTCGTGCGCCGGCGGTGTTGGCGGCGGCGGCGGCGGAGGAGGAGGAGGAGGAGGAGAAAGGAAAGGGGAAGGCGGAGCGGAGAGAGGCGGAGACCGAGGCCGACGGGGGCGGCACCACGGCGCCAGCCCCGCACCGTCCAGTCTGAGGAGGGGAGACGCCTCGCCGCCCAAGCCACAGCCTTCTCGCCGGGAGCTCCGCCTGGGACCTGCTGCCTGGAGCTTCCGCCCCGCGGCCCTGCGAGCTGCGGCCTAAGGTAACCGGGCCGTCCCTCTCCCCCTCCCCGGGCCGGGACCCCGGGCTCTCTGCCGTCCCGGTTTCTCGGGGGTTCCTGCCGGCCCCGAGCCCCCCGCCCCTCCCACCTCTCGCGCGCCGGCGCCCGGGACCAGTCGAACTCGGAGTCTCGTCCCGCCAGCCCCGTGGACTCGCCCTTCACTGGAGGCTCTGGAGGACCAGGATCTGCTGTCTGGCGGAGGGAGCGACGGGTGTCACCCTCTTCCCTTCTCAAGATGGCGCCGCGAAGGCGTCTGGAGGCTGCGGCTTCGTCGGCCCCAGGCCCCGGCCCCGTCTCCTGGGAGCGGGGGAGACGGCCCACATCAGGCCAGCTTCAAGGAGAGAGGCCCGGGAAGGTGGCCCCGAGGCCTGGCGGGCCCCGCCGGTGCTGGCGACCCGGAGTGTAGTGCCGGTTTATTGGGGTGTTCTCTATGGAGGATCCAGGGTCTACAGCAGGTGTGCATTTGGGGAGCCCCGCCTACCTTCGACTTCCGAAGTCGGGCCTCGGAGGGAGGAGGTGGCTCATCAAGATAGGCTGTCTAGAGATTCTTGTCTTATCTGAGGAAGGTGGTGAACCCCATCTTGAGCTCCAGACAACTAGGCCGCTGAACAGGCTCCCAGGGTAGAGACTGCTGTTCTCCTGGAAGCTGGCTATACCTCCCCCCTCTAACCCCCCCTTCCCCCCCATAGACTTAGACTTTCTAAGCCCTGAACGGCCTCCTTCACATTTTTGGTTTTTGTCTTGGTTGATGCAGAGTGTTGAATCAATTGCCTCTCACTTCAGTAGTAGGAAAAAAAAACACACACACACACACAAAAACAACACCTGTACACCTCTGATAATTCAGGACAGCCCAGAAACTTTATTTTTAATGTAAACTAGGGGCAATAATATGAGCTCATAGAATTGCTATAAGCAAAAGTCATGGAATAGAGCTTGGCACAATATAAGGCCCAGTAAATGGTAGCTGCTGCTGTGAATACAATTCTGGTTATCGAAAACCAGTTTAAAATTTTTTCAAAAGATGAAAATGCGTTTTATGCAAAACCTTTGTTTTGCAAAACAAGTTTCAATAGTGAATGCAAATAAGTGCACATAATATTTCACAATGTTGAGGTGACTGTATATAATTAGATTTAGTTAGGTTCTGTTTGAAAGCCTATGGCGAATCATAATCCAATAGAAGGCAAAGCTAAATTGTAATTCTTTTATAATGGGAATCGGATGTTTTTTTTCCCTGAAATATAGTAAGTGCCATGCAAATTCAGAGCATATTTTCCTTGAGAAGTTTAATTTGCTCTTCTGTAAGGTCATCAGGCAATTGGAAAATATTTCCATTGCTGTTGTGTATAATATCTAAAGGTATGTTGATGCATTTTCAGTCTACAGGCATTCTATTGATATTTGGTCATTATCTCATCAAAGAGCTCCTACCAGTTTTCAATTTTATGTGCCCCACTGTATTGAAGATTATTTTTCATTCAATTCTCACAGCAGCTGTGTAAATTAGGTATTCTGGAAATGGCGAATAGTATAATGAGAACCCATCACCTAGTTTAAGTTCTCTTTTGTATGGCCAATCTACATCTCCATTATTTGGAAGCAGTTAGACCTATTTCATCTTAAATACATGTTACCCATAAAGGACTCTTCCAAGCTACTGTTTAGATAAGGCAGAGGTGACTTTATTGTCTGGTATATAAGGTCTCTTGGATGTGTTTGTTAATGAGTTCATTGTCAAGAGAGATTCTTATGTAAACTCATTTTATGGGGAGGGCACATTTCTTATAAGGTACCTAAGTGAAGTATCAATGATGATTTGCCCTAGCTGGTTTGATTCAATGGATAGAGCATCAGCCTGCAAGACTGAAGGGTCCCAGGTTCAATTCTGGTCCAGGTCATTTGCCCAGGTTGCTGGCTTGATCCCCAGTAGGAGGAATGCAGGAGGCAGCCAATCGATGCTTCTCATTATTGATGTTTCTCTCTCTCTCTCTTCCTCTCCCTTCCTCTCTAAAATCAATAAAAATATATATTTTAAAAATGATTCTAGGGAGATAATCGTCAGATTTAATATTATTAGTAAGCACATGATCAGGTTTTGATTACAGATGAGAAAAGGAAATTTTAGGATTGGCTTGTTAGTAGATTAGAAAACTGTTCTTTAAATGTTTGCTAATTCCTTTAAGATTGAAAATTAGCATTACTAGTTAATAGAAGATAGGAGTTGCCATTCAGGCTAGTTTTTTCTAAATGTATTAAATTAAATAGAAAATAACAAGATATTTAATTGTTGGCCCCAATACTACAGAAAGTGTAAATAAGACACTAATAAGCTCACCACATAGGAAACCACTGTTAACACTTCAATGTATGTGTACTTTAGCACATGAGGAAACAGTTTTAAATCTTTCAGGTGTTAGACATAAAAACCTGGGAGCCAAAAATCTTTTTTTGTCCATGGGATTAACAAGTACAAATTGGCAGTCACAAAATAGTCATGGGGATGTAAAGTAGAGCATAGTGAATATAGTCAATCCTATATAATAAAAGGGTAATATGCAAATTGAATGAACAGTGAAAAGACTGGTCAGTGTGACAGCACACTGACCACCAGGGGCCAGACGCTCAACAACACAGGAGCTGCCTCCTGATGGTCAGTGCACTCCCACAAGGGGAGTGCCACTCATCCAGAAGTCCTGCTCAAGGCTGGTGAGCGCAGCAGTGGTGGTGGGAGCCTCTCCTGGGTCTGGCCGTGCTAAGGATGTCCGACTGACTGTGCACTGGGCCTCTAGTCTATATATTTAAAAGGCTAAGCAACCAGTCAGTAGGTATGACACACACTGACCACCAGGGAGCAGATGCTCAAACGCAGGAGCTGCTGTGACTTGGCAGCGGTGGTTCAAGAGTGATGAACCTGGAACCAGAGAGGAAGAAATCCAATTTCGGGGTGGGTCACCCGAGAACCACCCTCGCAATCCAGGACCCCGCAGGGAATGTAGGAGAGCCTGTTTCGGCCTGATTCCTGCAGGCCAGGCCAAGGTACCTCCACCTGTTGGTGGGACCCTGCTCACTCACAGACGACCTTCGAGTCACTGCTGATGACCTTCAAGCTGCGGTGCCCAGGGCATGTCAGGCCCATCTCACCCTACTGGCCACATTATAATTAATTTTCTTTCAATGTGCACTGATTCCTGCACCAGGGCACT